ATTTAAAATTTATAAGAAATACAGGTGCTTAACACCTCAATCCATCCATGATAAGAACTAAATTTGATATTTATTGAAAAATGAGGGACGTAAAAATAAAACGATAAATTTTGTTGGAAGTCAACTAGGAAAAATAATTCACATTAGATTAAAAGATATTAGTTTAGTCTTATTGACATTAGATTCTGAGATTATTTGAATAATTATCTTCAAATGTATTTTAATTTAATAATTTATATTAAATTAAATATATTATTGATTTTTAATCCAACTGATTTGATCATCTGTTTTGATATTTCTTAGTGCCAGATAACACCATATGTATTTTATTGACAATGTGGTGGGAACAAAATGTATGACCATATTTTTCATGTTTAATGTCGGTCGAATCAATAATCTAATCAGGACGTGCAAGAATAATGCAATGAAAGTGTGCATGCATGTCTTTATGAATCAAGTTGGATGTATACATTTCTATTTATGGAAACATTAGTCGACATGTCAACCTATAAACTTTATTTTATTATTTTGAAGATATTAAAATCTTCAATCTCATTGAATTATGCAGAACTATTCAACGAACAAAATGAAAGAAAAAAAAATCAATGAATAACACAATAGATAGATAAATTTATAACGTGACGACCACATTTTTTTTGGTACATTGTAGATTGAGGAAGTGGAAATTACGGAATTGGTCTATGTACTCTGTAAAATCTTTTGATTTATGTACTATATATATATTTTGTAAATGACACTGTTCGAACTTAAGATCTTTAGAAATATCAATATTTTATTTTATCATTAAAATCATTTTAAAAATATTTAATGTATATTTTTTATTTTCATAATCTTTTAAGTGTCACGTAAAGTTTTAAAAGTGATCCATGTATCTTAGAACATTAGATATCAACCTAATTAGAGGTAACAAAATGAATTTAAAAACACATTAAATAATTTAAATACAAATAATAATTGTATCGTTATCCCTAAAAAATATGAACTACTACTCGCTTATGCAGCTGGCGAATGCACCCTTCTTCGTAAAGAATCCACCATTGTCTTTAAAAAGTAGAGCTTTAACAGTATGAAAATGTTGACTCAATCCAGTGCCAGAAACGCGTAGGAAAGAGATGGTAAACCACTTCACAAATATAATAATAAACCAAAAGGAAATGTCCATGTCCATGTCAATGTCGATGCCAATTATTATTACCAGAACCAGACATCATCATCTTCTTTCACGCGTTTTGCCCTTTCATTCCATTGCTCATTCCTTTTTGGGTTATTTCAACGCAAGTAATTTTAGGACCAACAAAGCATAGATGCCTTGAGCATACATTCTGAATGGGATAGTCATCCTCTTACAATTTTAAATTATTATGTATTTTAAAATATATATATATATATTTTATTAATAATTTATTTTTATCTTCTTAAAATTTTATAAATTTATCGCTTCTAAAATTTAAAAAATTCGTTTCACCGACATAAAATTCTATGTTTATACCGGACTGAACATATATGATGTATATTGACCACCAACTCCGAAGCACCTATGTAGTGGATTCCACCTCACACTTTTTCTCATTGCTTCAATTATACTTTACCTAACCATGTATTATTACGTAGCTTTCTTCACTTACTCTTTTAAAGTGTTATTTTGCCTTTACAAATGAATAATTGGATAATAGAAACTTCATGGTTCTTGTCCCTTCCTTGGCATAAACTAACTTTTAATAGCTAAAGTTAAAAATATTAATAATGCAAATGTGTTAAACCCTTGATTCAAGAACGAAATTAAAATTAAATATTAAGAGGAATTAAATTGTTTTACATCAAAAGAACAATAATTTATTTAATATAAATTTAAAAACTGAAAGAGAGAGTTTTAACGACTTCATCCTCACGTCGATATAAAAACTTTATTTCCTTTATAATTTTACCCGACTTGAAAAGAATAAATTTTACTTTGATTATTAAATGGATAGACGAGATACACACGTAATTATAATTTTAAAAAAAATCTTATATAATTCCTAAATTTGATAATTTTATTTGATCTGTAAATTTTAATCAAATTAGTATGATTTAATGATTTCTCTCATTTTTAATCCTTTTGATGCCGTAATACTGTGAAATTATAAACATAATATACAACATCAAAGTGTCACGAAAAGGTGTTCATGACCCAAAGTCGAATAACAAAATTTTAAAGAATAGACTCTGCTCGATCCATCCAAAATATTTATTTTTAATGTAAAATAATAAAAAATAATTTTATATTGATTTCAATTGAGTTTTGTTATTAAATTTAAATAATGTGTTAAATTATTTCTTCTTTATTCAGATTGAATCTACCCATCGGATAAAAAATTTAAATTCGAGCTTAAACCTCAACTGGATTAAAAAGGACGAATCAACCAAGAAAAGGTCTAATATCACATCATTAAAATGATAATAAAAAAGAACAAATTGGATAATATTATAAAAATTACTTTTCCATATTTCCTTTTTTGCTAAACATCCCAAGTCAAAAGTAGTTTAAAATAATACACTACTAGAAGTATATAGATTCAAGAACGACGACTGTCTCTTCGTAGGGAATACAGAGTCACTCGCATGCATGCAAGTTGATAAATGGTAGAGAAGTTGTAATCTTCTTTCAACTTTGCTTTTTGGCAATATCCTCAAACCCCAAAAGTCTTAGCTGATCGCTTTTGAATCTCTCTCTCGTTTACACAGCACTCGTACGTGGTTATCTGACTTTCTTTTGCCTATATAATCACTTCTCATCCATCAATCCAAACTCACAAGCTCTCGAAATCCTCTTTCAGTTGAATCTTCAAGTTCTTGTTTTACAGCAATGGGGTTTAGTTGTTTTAGCCAAAGAGTCATTCTTGTTACCCTGTTGCTTGCCGTGGCCGGTGGTGTCTTGGTGGAAGGTCAGGGCACCAGGGTCGGGTTCTACTCGGCTTCATGTCCTCGAGTCGAGTCCATCGTGAGGTCCGCGGTTCAATCTCATTTCAGGTCTGATCCCACCGTTGCTCCCGGTTTGCTCCGCATGCACTTCCATGACTGCTTCGTCAATGGATGTGATGGTTCGATCCTTATCGATGGTGCCGGTACCGAGAAAACAGCACCGCCGAACCTTTTGCTGAGAGGGTACGAAGTCATCGACGATGCCAAGACTCAGCTCGAAGCTGCATGCCCTGGTGTTGTTTCGTGTGCCGATATTTTAGCTCTCGCTGCTCGTGATTCTGTAGTTGTGGTAAGTGGTAACTACTATTATTTTTTTGCTTTGATCTTATTTTTATGTTGTTGATTGGCTAGTCATTAACGGTGGTTGTTGATAATGTAATGTGACAGGGCGGTGGAGCAAGCTGGGCTGTGCCGACAGGCCGCCGGGACGGAACGGTTTCTCAGGCATCTGATGCCGCCAATTTGCCCGGCTTTCGTGACTCGGTCGATTTGCAGAAGCAAAAATTTGCAGCAAAGGGTCTCAACACTCAAGATCTTGTCACCCTTGTTGGTAAGCATTAGAATCAAATTATCACATTCGAGTTCGAATATAAATTTAACACCAAATGGATGGAATATAATGCAATTTCTGGATTCCAGGGGGGCACACCATTGGTACTTCAGCCTGCCAATTCTTCAGATACAGGCTTTACAACTTCACCACGACCGGAAACGGAGCCGACCCTTCGATTGCCGCCTCGTTTGTTTCGCAACTTCAAGCGCTTTGTCCACAGAACGGTGACGGATCACGGAGGATTGGATTGGACACGGGCAGCGTTAACAGATTCGATAATTCATTCTTCGCCAACTTGAGGGACGGCAAGGGAATTCTCGAGTCCGATCAAAGTTTATGGACCGACGCCTCCACGAGGAACATTGTTCAACGATTCTTGGGCATCAGAGGGTTGCTCGGACTGACGTTCAACATAGAATTTGGAAAGTCCATGGTGAAAATGAGCAACATTGAAGTGAAGACAGGCACTGTGGGTGAAATCCGCAAAGTTTGTTCTAAAGTTAATTAACTGTAACATATATGATCCAATCATACAGTGTAAAAAAAAGGTTTTACACTGATAATGTAATTTGACCTTTTCTGTTTTGAAAATTAGGGACATATTCAACGTTAATTAATTCGATAAAACGTGCAAATATAAGGATAATCATTGGCAAATGCAACGTCTGTGATTGTTGAGAAAATTGTTCATGTTGGACCTCTGGCTGTAGTCAATATCTCGTCGATGTTCTATCCAATATAATGGTCAAATTACAGCTTTCGTCCATTTGCTATATTCAGTTTAGAGATTTAATCTACTTTAATTTGATATATTGTTTTAATTAATTGTTGCCTTGTATTCTTCAAAGAAGTAAATAATGAATTTTTCTAACAATGTTTATGATTTGAACTAAAGCAAAATATTAATAACGATATGATTAGATTATGTTAAATTAAAAGATGAAAATTAAATTCAAAATTGAATATAACCTGGAAAGATTATTGCCCTAAACACTTCTAACCAATGCAAAATGGTTAAAGTGATTTGTATTTTTTTCATATTTTTTATAATTTATGTTTGAAATTCATGATTTTTTTTATGATATTATCTTCAATATTCAAAGAGTATAAGATGTCTCATCATTATACTAACCACTTACTAATGTTTCATTTGATTATAATGATTAACGTAATCATCAATGTTGTTTTCTAGTATCATCAATCATTTGGTCTAGTGGTATGAGATATTAGGTCTTTTAAATAAGGTTAGGGTTCGAATTCTGACGTTTACGAACAAATTAGTTTGAAAGGGTCGCCATCCCCTCTGTAATACTTTAATTGGATTAATCAATCAATAGATCAGATATCAATGATTAATTAAAAAAATATTGTTTTATGTTAGTTAAAGTATCAAGCTATTTTTCCCCTCATAAATTTGTCAATCCATGAGAAATTAACAAAAAAGTTTCCCATGAATATTAGCAGATGATTCCAGAATTGTTCTAAATCTTTAACTTTAGCAGTTTCAACATTCATTATCCCTGAGAATTTCCATGGCAACGATAATACATCAGCAGATAGATCCTGTAAGTAATCAACAAGATTAGATCACAGTTTACTCAGAATTTTGATCTATTGGGGGAACTCATTGTCATCTCAACAAAACAACAACATTTCCAGTTTATCTACACAAACATGGCCATTGATTTCCTTACAACCCAAGAGCACCGAGCGGTGTATTTCCTTGGCCAGCCTCGAAGTAGAAAATCAACATGGCCAGCATCGCAATTCTCGCATGCTTAATCTCAGCAAGCTTAAGTCTCTCGAGCTTGTCATAATCAGGCACGTAAACCCCGTTCTGAATGGTTCCCGCAAGGCCCGATGGGTCAAAGAACTTGCCTCCGGGGTAACCTTGCTCGCCGGTGGCGTTGGCAAAGTTCTCGGCGGTCTTAGACCACGGAGTCGCCCATTCCACAGATTGTGATTCGGGGTTAAAGAAATCAACCCAACGCTTGCTTTCAACCCAACCCATGAGGAGGAGTTGGGTTCCGAGGAGTGAACCGAAGGAGAATGGGGCTATCGCACCCGGGTCAGCTCCGGCCTCGAACCACGGAATGCCACTCCAGGCTTGGCCCACGAAGATTCCGACGACGGCGGTCATGGCCCAACGTCCGTGGATCAGCTCGGCTTCTCGGTACCATTTGAGGAATGTTGGGTCCTTGCCGATACCAAGCGGGTCGAATCCGTAGTCTCCGGGGAGCCTGATCAAAAAAAACAAAAAAGGAGAAACTTTAGTTAAGCAAGCGAACAACAAAAAGTAAAAAAAAAGGTGGTTCAGGAGGAGAAAAACATACGATCATCGAGCCATTCGGGGTCAAGGAAGTTACCGCCACCTTTGACTGCGGGGATCCAAGACTTTTTAGATGCGGCGGCTGCCACAACGGCAAACTTCCTAGCTCCACCGGCATGGGAGGGGATGACTTTAGCACCCAAAAGAGCTTGGCTCCCCTTCCCGCCGCAAAGAAACGATGAGCATAACCCATTTAGAACAGCACCAGATGTAGCAGCCATTGTTTTTCTGTGATTTTTTTTTCTCGAGAGACGAGTAGAGAGGAATTGTAGCAACCAGATGTAGCAGATGAGTGGGAGAATCAAAAGGCAGGATTTGACGAGGTACAAGTAGGATAGAAGAAATATAGAGAGGATATCTAAGTAAGGTGGTTGGATTTCGGACCAATGGAAAGTTGAAGTCCATCCACATCTCAATGTTGCTCCAAACCACGTGGAACTTGGTCCTTTGCTTCCTGGATATCATTCTGCCCTGTGGTCCTCTTTCTTTATTGCATTTCGGATTTGGCATAGTCACAAAAGTATCCTTCAACATTTGCACAAATACTCATTTTACCACTCAACGTTAGATTTTATTATATAAAAATAATTAGTTGACTAATAATTAATTAATATGTTAATATATGTCACATCAATAATTAAATATATGTAAAAATTTCACGTCAACAATATATTTTAATAAAATTTTGAAGTGTTAAGAGATAAAATGTTCCAAAAAAAAATAGAAGTATAAAGTGATCATTCATAAAAATGTTGAAGTTATTTTTATCATAATGCCTTCATATTCTTTTAATATTTCTAAATAGTCTAAATGATTAAAAAATATTTTTTTTAAAAAAAATTGATTTTAAACAGTTATATTTATAAGTATGTATACGCTATTAACGAGTTCAAAAATTTTGAATAAACATTATTTTATTGTCAACTTATACTATTTAAAAATATATATTTTAACTTCATCAATTGATTTGATGATACAATCCATTTTATATTTATTTAGTTATCAATTAAGACATAATATCAATAAATTAATTATTTTCTAAATTTAATCATAATCATAAATTATACCGAACATGAAATAAAATTTAGTTATAAGTTTCACACGATTATAACATTAGAGTAATCAAATTATTTTAAATTAAAATAAATTGAGCAAACTGATCATAAATTGTATTTGCGAATGGAGCAAACTGGGTTGGAAGGGTCGCTCTCGCCTCTGCAATACTCGATCTGGATTAGTCGGTCAATAAATCAGATACTAATGATTAATTCAAAAAAATTATTTTAAATTGAAATTAATGGATTAAATCCTAAATCCCGGGCTAAAACCATAATTAAACTTAGAAATAAAATATCTGAATAAAATATCTGTCTTCCCAGATTATACATCACTTGTTAAAGTATATGTATATAGTAAATATAGCAAATTGGTTATAGGTTGTTGCAATCTGTCTAACTTCAGTTGATTTCTGTTAAGGAGTGTTGGTTAGGATCTTGTTAATCAGCACTAATTCAATCTTATAGCATCCACCAAATATTGTACATAAAAATTAATATTTATTATTTTAAAAACATTAATTCAAATATATTTAAAGGTATAATATTCTTTAAGGAAAATTTTTACATGGCAGCCTTATGCTCTGAGTAGGCCTTTATTAATAAATAAATTATTATTTTAAAATCATAGCTTTAATATTTTAATATTTATGTACATTAATTAATTATCATTCTCTAAAATAATTCATAATAATTTATATTATATCTCGACCCAGCTAAAAATTTATGGCTTCAACCTAATATGCACATATATAAACATATTTTTAAAGTATTTTACATTACTTTTTATTTTGAATAAATATTTTAAATATTTTCTTTAAAAAAATCTATTTAATATTATTTATATTTAAAGATATTTTTTAATTAAAATAATTTCCAAACCCAATACTAAACGGGCTTTAACCATTTTTTTAATCCAACAATTATGCATGCATGGCAGCCGCCAAAGACTGAAAAGGTCTTTGTATTTTCAGTTTCTTTAGTGGGAAGAAAAACCCTAGTTTTTCTAGGAAACAGTTAACTTACCTCACCCCATCTGCCCTATTTTATCTCCAACCCACCACTCTCTTTCCCTCACGATTCAGCTTCTTTCCCTCTTTCTGCACTGATTCAATGAAGTATCTATGTCTTATAAAAATATCTCTTGTGTCTCAAGTCTCGACAAGTGAATCTTTCGACAGTTTTCTTCTCCATTTCTGTGTTTTTCACTTTCTCCATACATTTTCGTAGGTTTCTTTTTCTTCTTCCAACGGCTGTCATGGTTTTAAGTTCATACTCGAACTGGGAAAATGATTTCCAGAGTGTTAACAGTGAAACTGTTCAAATTGATCAACAACAATACCGGGATCCATTTGAGCTGCCTTTTGGTTTCATTGATCCTTACATTGAACTAAACAGCAGTTTTCTTCATCCCGAAAGCTACACTACTTTACTTCCCGTTGACCCTTTGATTCCCTTGCCGCCTGAAACCACCTCGTACGAGAACTTCATCTCTTTCCCATGCCCTAAACGCCAGAAACTCATCGAGGATCAGTGTTTGATGCTCGGTTTCTTTGACGCGGTTGATCCACACTCATGTCCGGTACTTGAAGACAATCGTCATCAAATTCAAACAATGAATCAGGTTAACTGTGAGAACAACGGCGTAGGCGACCAAAAGTGCGTGTCGGTGCAAAGCGTCGCGGCGAGGGAGAGGAGGAGGAAGATAACCAAGAAGACTCAAGAGCTTGGGAAGCTTGTGCCCGGTGGGACTAAGATGAACACTGCTGAAATGCTTCAAGCTGCTTTCAAATATGTCAAGTTCTTGCAAGCTCAACTCGGAATCCTTCAACTCATGAACTCGTTCTCGGTAATTTTCTACAACGATTATAATTTTTATATGCATACGAAGATTGATTGCTTAGATAAGCAAACGGGGTGTAAATAAATGCAGAAAAATGGAGAGAATTGCAAGGAAAATGAAAGCCTGCAGATTTTAACATCTGCCAAGGTTCTAGAAAAGCTTTACATTGAAGAGAAGTGCTTGGTTCCAAAGGATTTTGTTCTGTCTTTGACAACAATTTCAAAGCCTCCGGTCTCCGATGAACTCACTCGCCTTTTATGATCTTCAGCTTGGTTAGCTCAGCTACTCGCGACTGAATTAACTCACTGTTTTGTTGTTTTGATTGATAATGTCTGTATATAGACTTGTTTATTTTGTTTTAATACATTTATCTATTGGTTACTAAAAACTACATGTAATTATCTTTGTTTTCATATATGAATATATCAAGCTTTCATTTGAATTTGATTTTTTCAAAAAATAAAATAAAAGATCTAATCTAAATTAATCGATTAATGCATCTTACACTAATAATTAAATAAAAAAATAAGTATTAGATTCTGTTTCAGAAAAACACATTGAGAAAAAAAACAAAAACCCTCAATAAAATCCTTAAAATGTAGTATTAAATTAAATTATATAATTTTTATTTCATATACTAATGATATAATACTCAACAAATAAAATTATAGTATTATCAAATATACTTTAATTATATTAAAAAAATAAAATATATTACATTTTGTTCATCAAAAAAGAAACTGACCACCAAAATCGCAACAACAGTTCCCAACTCAGAACAACCATGTGTTGCATCAGATAGAAAATTGTGGGAAAAAAAGTATGCGCCAAATTCCTTATCCATAATATCAGGAAAATACATGAAATTCATTCCCCTGCCTTTGAACAAGCTCCACCATCGCAGTCGGTTCAGTCCTTGGAAAATGTTGTTGTAAACATCGCCAATGGCTTCCGGTTCCTTCTTCACCTCTCTCGAAGCTGGCTCCATGAGTTGTTTTTCCTGCTGCAACCACCAATCACTTTTCTGGTGCTTACGTTTCCCGTCGTTACATTTTCACACGCTTCGACTCCCTCCGGCGAAACCTAAGCTTAATCACCAGTTCCTTGTTTTCAAGTGCTCCTGTAACACCCCCAATCCGTATCCGACCCGGATACGAGTCCGAAGTGTCACATTGTCTTTTCAAACATTTATTCATATAAAATAGTGAGTAATTTAAAAACTTTTATAACATTGAACTTATTCAAAACGTTTACAAAACTATTCAGAGCTTATACAATATATTCTTTTGATTACATGCCAACTAAAACTTTATTTATTAAAATACGTATTATTCACCTCTTTTCTGATCTGACATTTGGTAAGGAGAACTGACCTGTCTTGCTCCATATTGCTCTTTACTCTTCTCGAAACCTACGTGTGAAACAATCACACGCTAAGTCGTTGACTTAGTGAGGCATATAAACATATAATAAAAACCATAGAACATTTCATATAACAAAACACATATCTGTACAAATACTATCATTATCATTAACATATCTATCATATAATATCATACATTTTTCCAATCAATACTCATTTCATCCGATGAATATGTATTCTAAACATTTGATCATGACATTTCAATATGCATGTATCTATTACACGATAACATATATATATTTATATCATGCACATACGAAACTTACCTTCTTGTACCACTTTCACTTTAAAGTTTGTATTTCAATTGCCCATGTATATTATTATTGAGAATAGAGGTATGTGAGTACATTGAGGTTGTGCACTAATGCTGTCACCACAGCTCGTATCAATTCCCTCATGGGGCACCGAACCTTAGTTCAGTATTCGTCCCGTAGGACCACTGTATATGTCTCGTAGAACCACTATGTCCCGAAGGACTACTCCTTAAGAACCACATACATAATACAATGGCTCCAATAAGTGTACCGAAGTACTACATATAGGTTCCACATAATTACATACATGTCCCGAAGGACCACGTAGAACCCTCGACTCTTGGCATGCCAACTATACCTATAGCTCTCATATCATATACTATGGGCATTATTCTTATGTTTCATATCACTTGTTCCTTTTCTTCTGTCATATACCATATGTATGTGTGAACATACATCTCATATCATATAACCTTTATCTCAAGTGCATGTAATCACGTATTACATGTAATCACGTAGATCATTTCATATGGATTATATCATTTCTCATTTTTCATGTAAACACACATGTCATATCTTATTCACATATGTTCATATATACATCATATATCACATAGAATAACATATAAACTTATACATATATTCATGTACATACTTTCATATAGTTCGTATATCAATGCCCTATAACTTATCTCACATTATTTATATCCTAGTTTCATATATTTACTTAATTCAATTTCACATAACTTGTTACCTATATATATTCTTATAACTTATCATCACATAACTCCCATAACATCTTCCTATAGCTTCATAGATCTTTACTATATGACTCATATATTATATGTTCATTTAAGCCCATAACTCTTCCCATATAGCTTATCTTACATGTTCATATAATCACTTCTGTCAATGTCTCCTAATTTATATATTATTTTCATATTGTCCTATAGGTCAATGTTATTTAACTTGTCTCACTTTTCATTTCATCTCATAAGTTGGTTATACTAATTCTCATATATTTAACTCGTGTAATTTATATCTTGTTATTATATCTTCAACTAGACCTATATCCACATGTTCATAATCACATAACTTATATTCTTTTTCATATAATCACATATGTCTATGTCGTTTAACTTATCATTTATATCTATATCATCTATTTTATATCATTTTCTCTTGCTATCACATAAGTCCTTGCTATTTTTCCATAGTTCGTGATCCTATAGTCAATTATAATAGCATATGTTTATCTTATCTAATATCATATAGTTCTTTAACTTATGTCTTATATCACATATTTATATTATAAACTTATATAATCACATATACTATTTAAACCAGTTCACATAGCTTATCACACTAACATATATTCATTCAATTCATGTAACATATGCAATACATATAACATATGTACCCATTTTCATGCACTCATGCAAATATAAGAATCACAATTCAAATAACATTTTTAGGAGTCCCTTCTTACCATAGTGACTCCATCACTGGCTCATCGCAAGCCAATGTTTATTTGGTACATAAGTACAATTTAAATTGCACTCACCTTAGCTTTGCTTTGATTTGAATCAATCCTAATCCTTCGATTGTTCCGGAAGAAGCTTACTTTTAGTATCTACATAATCACACATGGATCTATATCAGTATTATAACTAATATTCTAATGGTTCACTATTTAGACTAAGAAAAGTCAATTTCATCTTTTAATGAAGGTATGCATCGATGCACCACTGATGCATCGGTGCATAAAATGCATTCGATGTTGTATTATTACTGGGATGCATCGATGCACTCCTTATGCATCGATGCATTAATTGCATTCGATGTTTTTATCTTAAAAGAGTGCATCGATGCACTACCAATGCATCGATGCACTACCAATGCATCGATACACCTTCAACCAATTTCTGGGTTTTAACCTTGATGCATCGATGCACTATGAATGTGCATCGATGCACTCTGCCCAGAATCCTCTTTTTTGAACCCGAAAACTCATTCATTTTGGATTAAATCCTTCATATTTCAACCCCTTTCATATTCCTAACTTTCATATACATAATTAAACTCATTAATATTCATTTATCTCATCTTTAACCTTAATATCCTCTCCTCTTTAGGAATTTCAAGAATCATACCCTATTTTCCACATGTTTCAAATCCAATTCTAACACTTAATACTTCTTAATTAAGCTGATGGCAAGTCAAATCCAACTTTAGAACTTCAAAAACCTTTATATAACAAAAGTTCATTTATAAACCCTTAATAGAAATTCCTTTCTAATTCTACCTCTTTGGTGTTTTAAACTTATATAAGCTTTCCTTAAGCTTATATAACCCTCAAAGACTCAAATCCAACTTAAAACTTTCAAGAAATCAAAAGCTAAATCAAACTTACCTTTGCTCTTGGCTTCCACGTGAAGAAGAAGAAGAAAGGAGAAGAGAATTCTGGAGAATTCTCTCCCTTTCCACGTGTATATAATTCCATTTTTTTCTTAAATGATCAAATGACCATTTTACCCTTTATTTCCTTTAATAATTACTAAATAACCTTCATCATATATATATCCAATAATCATTGAACTACTTCATTCTTCTACTTTAGTCATCAAATTCTGAAACTTTACAATTTGGTCACTAACCCATAATTTGGGATGTTACAAATCTCCCCTCCTTTTAAAAAAATTCGTCCTCGAATTTTCACTGCACATCCTGAAAATGACATATCTTCTAACGTTCTCATGCTGCTTTCTGAACTTAATACTTCTTATAATTGTTAGAAAACTTACTTTTCAATCCTTAAATTTTTCAAGCACCTTTTCCTTTATACTTTCTATCTTGCCACTTATCATATAGACAATAAAATCCATATCCTCACTCAACATTATAAATCTATCGTTAATTACCTTACAATAGTAACCAACCTCTTCTTTCGTCATCACTTGACCAAAAACACAACTTTAAATCTTCTTCAAATGTGATTAAACATAGACTTTACAAATTCAAACAATCTTTTCCACATCATCCTACACATTTTTATTTACTTCTATATCGAACTTATCATCTACACTTCCATAAAATCTTTCTCATATCTGATCCTTTAAACTCAACCATTTTCATTTCTTTATTCATATATCCTTTTATAATCAAGATCTTCTTATACATAACTAAGCCATATCATGTCCTTCATACTCCCATATTCTTTTATATCTCGTACACTCATTTCTGATTACTGATCTTCATTGCATCGTCATAACTTTGATAATCCTCTTTACTTATACAAACCTCATTCTTTACCATCTCATATACATTCTTTGCAGTCGAAAACTATTTCAACAATTATCAAATCTCAATACTCATCTCACCCCTTTAATATACTTTTCCCCGCTTCAATTTTCATAAGTTCTAACAAAACTTTTACCCTAATTCTCGAAGTTTGTCTTTAACCCTGGCTTATTATCAATTAAATCCTTGTTTAATCTTTCAGTACTAGACCATACTAACTGAGTCTGTCTGACTCTCATCGGATTTGATTCTCTAGCAGAGAATGCAACTAATTCATACCTTGTCTGAAATTGAAAACCAGAATCTCTACCTCTATTTGATGGTATTGAACTCTATGAAGCACTAATTCGCTTAATCATATGAGATTTTATTTCTCCAAACTTTTCGTTCTGAGCTTTTTCTCTTTAAAGCTTTAACACAATTAAACATTTCTTGAAACGATAACAAATTCAAAACCAGTAACACTCTTTTAATTTAAGGCGCAAGTCCTAACAAAATATCACATGTATCATTTTCAGTCGGAATTAACTCAGCAGCAATTCTGCTTAGCTTAATAAACTTATAATCATACTCATACAATGTGTAATTCCCTTGTTTCAAGCTCGTGTATTCCAGTTTCATCTGTTTTATAAACTGGTCATCAATGCACTTATTCTTGAACTCTTATACAATTCTAATCACATCATTTAATCTTTTAACGTTCTTATGGTGACAATTATCCACCATACTCTAACTTACCAAAGTAGTAACAAAACTACTCAATTCAACATCTCCACTTTGAAGAATTGAAAACCTTCTATCATATCATTCAACCAAAGGTCTATAACAATAGAACATTCCTCAAATCCACCCTTGAACTTGGGTGCTCGCAACTTTATCAACTAATTTGATACATTCATTCTATGAGTTAAAGAAGTATAAATTGAAAACACATCAGAACATTCTTCAATCATGAAGAATAATTTTCCAAATTTTATACAGACATTTCCTGAGATGTTCGTTCTTCTCCCTGCCTGGCCAGGGCAGGTGAATGCTATTACCTTCAGGTTTATTCCTTTCACTTCTTTCGAAGCACTTAATATCATACTTCTATTATCACATAATAATCTATTTTTTTATTAGCAAGACAGTATACTCCTTACACTATCAGATCAGAATTTTTCACTTTGAGTTGGCATGTACACTTTTTAAAACACTTCTGACTTCGATTTAAGCCTAGAATCGGCTAAACCGTAGCTCTGATACCATTAAATGTAACACCCCCAACCCGTATCCGACCCGGATACGAGTCCGAAGTGTCACATTGTCTTTTCAAACATTTATTCATATAAAATAGTGAGTAATTTAAAAACTTTTATAAGATTAAACTTATTCAAAACGTTTACAAAATTATTCAGAGCTTATACAATATATTCTTTTGATTACATGCCAACTAAAACTTTATTTATTAAAATGCATATTATTCACCTCTTTTCTGATCTGACATTTGGTAAGGAGAACTGACCTGTCTTGCTCCATATTGCTCTTTACTCTTCTCGAAACCTACGTGTGAAACAATCACACGCTAAGTCGTTGACTTAGTGAGGCATATAAACATATAATAAAAACCATAGACCATTTCATATAACAAAACACATACCTGTACAAATACTATCATTATCATTAACATATCTATCATATAATATCATACATTTTTCCAATCAATACTCATTTCATCCGATGAATATGTATTCTAAACATTTGATCATGACATTTCAATATGCATGTATCTATTACACGATAACATATATATAATCATATCATGCACATACGAAACTTACCTTCTTGTACCACTTTCACTTTAAAGTTTGTATTTCAATTGCCCATGTATATTATTATTGAGAATAGAGGCACCACAGCTCGTATCAATTTCCTCATAGGGCACCGAACCTTAGTTCAGTATTCGTCCCGTAGGACCACTGTATATGTCTCGTAGGACCACTATGTCCCGAAAGACTACTCCTTAAGAACCACATACATAATACAATGGCTCCAATAAGTGTACCGAAGTACTTCATATAGGTTCCACATAATTACATACATGTCCCGAAGGACCACGTAGAACCCTCGACTCTTGGCATGCCAACTATACCTATAGCTCTCATATCATATACTATGGGCATTATTCTTATGTTTCATATCACTTGTTCCTTTTCTTCTGTCATATACCATATGTATGTGTGAACATACATCTCATATCATATAACCTTTATCTCAAGTGCATGTAATCACGTATTACATGTAATCACGTAGATCATTTCATATGGATTATATCATTTCTCATTTTTCATGTAAACACACATGTCATATCTTATTCACATATGTTCATATATACATCATATATCACATAGAATAACATATAAACTTATACATATATTCATGTACATACTTTCATATAGTTCGTATATCAATGCCCTATAACTTATCTCACATTATTTATATCCTAGTTTCATATATTTACTTAATTCAATTTCACATAACTTGTTACCTATATATATCTTATAACTTATCATCACATAACTCCCATAACATCTTCCTATAGCTTCATAGATCTTTACTATATGACTCATATATTATATGTTCATTTAAGCCCATAACTCTTCCCATATAGCTTATCTTACATGTTCATATAATCACTTCTGTCAATGTCTCCTAATTTATATATTATTTTCATATTGTCCTATAGGTCAATGTTATTTAACTTGTCTCACTTTTCATTTCATCTCATAAGTTGGTTATACTAATTCTCATATATTTAACTCGTGTAATTTATATCTTGTTATTATATCTTCAACTAGACCTATATCCACATGTTCATAATCACATAACTTATATTCTTTTTCATATAATCACATATGTCTATGTCGTTTAACTTATCATTTATATCTATATTATCTATTTTATATCATTTTCTCTTGTTATCACATAAGTCCTTGCTATTTTTGCATAGTTCGTGATCCTATAGTCAATTATAATAGCATATGTTTATCTTATCTAATATCATATAGTTCTTTAACTTATGTCTTATATCACATATTTATATTATAAACTTATATAATCACATATACTATTTAAACCAGTTCACATAGCTTATCACACTAACATATATTCATTCAATTCATGTAACATATGCAATACATATAACATATGTACCCATTTTCATGCACTCATGCAAACATAAGAATCACAATTCAAATAACATTTTTAGGAGTCCCTTCTTACCATAGTGACTCCATCACTGGCTCATCGCAAGCCAATGTTTATTTGGTACATAAGTACAATTTAAATTACACTCACCTTAGCTTTGCTTTGATTTGAATCAATCCTAATCCTTCGATTGTTCCGGAAGAAGCTTACTTTTAGTATCTACATAATCACACATGGATCTATATCAGTATTATAACTAATATATTCTAATGGTTCACTATTTAGACTAAGAGAAAAGTCAATTTCATCTTTTAATGAAGGTATGCATCGATGCACCACTGATGCATCGGTGCATAAAATGCATTCGATGTTGTATTATTACTGGGATGCATCGATGCACTCCTTATGCATCGATGCATTAATTGCATTCGATGTTTTTATCTTAAAAGAGTGCATCGATGCACTACCAATGCATCGATGCACTACCAATGCATCGATACACCTTCAACCAATTTCTGGGTTTTAACCTTGATGCATCGATGCACTATGAATGTGCATCGATGCACTCTGCCCAGAATCCTCTTTTTGAACCCGAAAACTCATTCATTTTGGATTAAATCCTTCATATTTCAACCCTTTCATATTCCTAACTTTCATATACATAATTAAACTCATTAATATTCATTTATCTCATCTTTAACCTTAATATCCTCTCCTCTTTAGGAATTTCAAGAATCATACCCTATTTTTCACATGTTTCAAATCCAATTCTAACACTTAATACTTCTTAATTAAGCTGATGGCAAGTCAAATCCAACTTTAGAACTTCAAAAACCTTTCTATAACAAAAGTTTATTTATAAACCCTTAATAGAAATTCCTTTCTAATTCTATCTCTTTGGTGTTTTAAACTTATATAAGCTTTCCTTAAGCTTATATAACCCTCAAAGACTCAAATCCAACTTAAAACTTCCAAGAAATCAAAAGCTAAATCAAACTTACCTTTGCTCTTGGCTTCCACGTGAAGAAGAAGAAGAAAGGAGAAGAGAATTCTGGAGAATTCTCTCCCTTTCCACGTGTATATAATTCCATTTTTTTTCTTGAATGATCAAATGACCATTTTACCCTTTATTTCCTTTAATAATTACTAAATAACCTTCATCATATATATCCAATAATCATTGAACTACTTCATTACTCTACTTTAGTCATCAAATTCTGAAACTTTACAATTTGGTCACTAACCCATAATTGGGATGTTACAGCTCCAGTTCCAGTTCGAGTTCGGATTCCGTTTCTGTTGATGTAGATCTCCTTTCCTCAACCGGTGCGCCGCTTTATCTTTCATTCTTTTTGTTTCTTTTGTTGCTTTTGAATGAATCGGATCCACTTTTTGTTTGTTGAATCTCAATCAACTATTGTAAAGAATAACAAAATCTTGTGATGTTTGGAAATGTCTGCATTTTTATTGGTTTCTTATTCTTAATGAAACGGTACCATATGATATATCGCTTTTGCTTTTCTAGCAACTTTGAGAGGAAAAAAAATAGTGAATTTCAGCTAAAAGAAAAGCTCAAAACAAATTTGGTCGTTCTAATAATTGTGAGCATTGATGAAATGTGCAGAGTGTTCCGATGGCAGCGTTATCTTCCGGTTTGGAAACGCGAGTGAAATGGCAATACTTGAAGGTCAAACTCAAACGAACGATGAAAGTGCTACGGCTGTTGCCAAAGTTGGTCGCGAAGATTTGGACAAGGAAGATAAGAGCAGTTTTGAAGCGGTTGGTGTTTCTGTTGGGGATTCTGAATCAGTGGAGCCTGGGAAGAAGAAAGTTCACCGTAACTTTCTGGTTAAATCTTCACCTAAGAGAAAACAACGACTAAATGCAAACCAAGTAACTGAAGCTGTTAAAGAGAAAGCTGCTTCTGTTGTCAGTGATGACAGAGAGAGTGGGAAAAATTCAGTTGTTTCTTCTAAACATATAAATCCTGAAGAACCATCTGATGATGAGCTTGAGAATGTTGTTAAAATAGAAACTGATAATTTCCTCGAGGAAAATAGTGCGAGCACTAGAAAAAAAAATGAAGGTTTTAGTAATTTGAATGTGGTATTAAATCAAGATTTAGTTCATTATGTAGGAAAGGTTTCTCCTCCATTGGCAGCGTCTGTTATTGAAAGTAAATAAACAGTCAGTTAGGTTCTCCAGAGTTGGGTTCCAAAGTTGAAGTGCCCAATTGTGCCAAGTTCCCAGTAGAGAATAAGGGTACTTCTAAGGGAAGTGCTTTGAAGATGGTATCAAAGATTGATTTAATTCCTGATATAGAAAAGGTTTCTACTCCACTGGAAGCTTCTGCTACTGAAAATGAAATTACTACTAAATTAGCTTATTTAGAGTCCAGTTCCCATAGTGAAGTCCCCCACAGGGTTAAGTTGGAAAAGGAAGAAAATACTGGTGCTGACGAAAATGGTGAGAGGATTGGTAAAATTGAGGGTACTGCTTCAAGTATGGAAACTAAGATGAATTCAGTTCCTGATATAGAAAAGGCTTCTCCTCCATTGACAGTTCCTCCTATTGAAAGTGAAATTAGAACTGAATTAGCTTTCCTACAGTCTTGTTGACGAAAACGGGTAAAGAAAACGAAAGAACACGAGAATTTTACGAGGTTCGGCAATGTGCTTACGTCCTCGGTGCCTAGGCGGCGCTAGAAGTTTTATTCAATAATTTTTTTAGGTCTAGGTTACATCTCTATTTATAATAGAAAACCCTGGTACATAATTACAAAATCAACCTGTACCGTACCGCGGGGGCTGCGCCCCCACACCCCCAACCCACATAATTCGTAACCCCACAACGAGACTTTTTATGAGCCATACATAACAAATCTCCACCTTGGCGAATATCCTGCCCCTTGGAAACTTCAATGTGGGTTGGGTTACCTTGCTTCTTTAACAACTCGAAACATTCAACAAGTCCAAGCAATGCTTGAACTTGTCTGTCGTAACTGGCTTGGTGAACATATCAGCGGCATTCTCATCAGTATGTACCTTCTGAAACAAAACCTCTCCAGATGCAACCAACTCTCTGATCTTGTGGAACCTTACATCAATATGTTTAGTTCTAGCACGATACACCTGATTCTTAGCCAAGTGAATAGCACTTTGATTATCACAAAGCAACTGAACTCCACCTTGTTGAACACCCAACTCCTTCACTAAACCAGTAAGCCATAAAGCTTCTTTTGCAGCTTCAGCCGCTGCCATGTATTCAGCTTCAGTTGTAGATAGTGCCACGACAGATTGAACAGTAGACTTCCAGCAAATAGGCCCTCCACCAAGAGTAAACACATACCCTGTCGTAGATCTTCTATTATCCAAGTCACCTGCATAATCTGAATCCACATATCCTACAACCAAAGGATTATCCCGCTGACTCCCAAAAACAATTCCATGTCCCACAGTACCCTTTAAGTACCGAAAGATCCACTTGACTGCATCCCAATGTTGCTTACCAGGTTTAGACATGTACTTACAAACTTGACTAACAGCATGAGCTAAATCAGGACGAGTACATACCATCGCATACATCAAGCAGCCAACAGCATTAGAATACGGAACCTTTGCCATATTTTCAGCTTCCTTATCTGTCTTAGGGCACTGTTCTGATGAGAGCTTAAAGTGATTCGCCAATGGAGTGCTAACTGGTTTCGCGCTGCTCATCGCAAACCTTTCTAGTATTTTCTCAACATAACCCCGTTGAGATAGCCGCAGTTTCCTTGAGTCTCTGTCCCTGCAAATTTCCATTCCAAGAATTTTCTTTGCAGCACCTAAATCTTTCATATCAAATTCCTGACTCAATAAAGTTTTCAAACCGATAACATCATCCATGTTCTTCGCAGCAATCAACATATCATCAACATACAATAATAGAAAAATAAAAGAACCATCATCAAGGCTCTTAACATAGACACAACAATCATACTCACATCGGTTGTAGCCAATCTTGATCATATAGGAGTCAAACCGTTTATACCACTGTCTCGGAGACTGTTTTAACCCGTACAAAGATTTCTTCAATCTGCAAACTAAATGCTCGTTTCCAGGTTGAGTGAAACCTTCAGGTTGCCGCATGTAGATCTGCTCCTCTAAATCACCATGCAAAAAGCAGTTTTAACATCCATCTGCTCTAAATGCAAATCCCAACTAGCCACCAATGCAAGTACTGCTCGGATTGAAGTGTGCCTGACCACAGGAGAAAAGATTTCATCATAATCAACTCCTTTCTGCTGTGAAAAACCCTTCGCTACCAAACGAGCCTTGAACTTCTCCCCCTCTTTTTCTGTTACTGCTGGTTTCTTCTTATACACCCATTTGCAACCAATCGGCTTCTTACCCTTAGGAAGGGGAACTAACTCCCATGTACGATTGTGATTCAAAGACTCCATCTCCTCAACCATGGCTGCCATCCACTTGTCGTTTTCCTGACTAGTAACGGCATCATGAAAAGTAACTGGATCATCACTGCTAACAGTAAGTGCAAAAGATACCAAGTCTTCAAAACCCAATCTGTTCGGAGGCTTTATATTCGTCCGTCTCACCCTGTCTCTGGCGAGACTATAATCCTGCAAATCATCCGTAGTGGAACCACCAGAAGTCGGTTGAGAAGTTTCTGGTTTCTCAACTGGAAACTGCTCGAAATCTACCACTGTCGTGTCTTGCTTCTGCTGCAACATAGACTGTTCATCAAAAACGACATCTCTACTAATCACAACTTTCTTCGCAACTGGATCCCAGAACTTGAATCCTTTGACACCTTTCTTGTAACCCAGAAAAATGCACTCCTTCGATTTTGCATCAAGTTTGGATCTCTCATCAGCAGGTACATGCACATAAGCAGGACAACCAAAAATCCGTAAGTTATCAAAACTAACATCATGACCAGTCCATACCTCTTCTGCAACTTTCCCAGCCAGCGATGCCCTTGGCGATCTGTTGATAAGGTAACACGCCATGTTAACAGCCTCAGCCCAGAAGTGTTTGGGAAGCCCCGCATTCAACCGCAAACATCTGGCTCTTTCATTCAACGACCTGTTCATTCGTTCCGCAACATCATTCTGTTGTGGTGTCTTGCGCACTGTAAAATGCCTCTGAATCCCATGCTCCTTACAGAATTGTAGGAACTGTGAATCTGTGTACTCCGTACCATTATCAGACCGCAAACACTTGATTTTTCGTCCTGTTTGGTTTTCTACCTCAGCTTTCCACAACTTGAACTTCTCAAAAACTTCAGATTTCTGTTTCAAAAATACACCCAAACTTTCCGTGAAAAATCATCAATAAAAGTAACATAGTACCTAGATCCACCCAAAGACGATGTCGTGGAAGGCCCCCATACATCAGAATGCACATAATCAAGAATCCCTTGAGTTGTGTGCTTCGCAATCTTGAAACGGACTTTAGTCTGTTTACCAAGAACACAATACTTGCAAAAATCGAGCTTACAGCTTTTGACACCATGCAACAAGTTTCTCTTGTGTAATTCTGCCATACCACGTTCACTAAGATGAGCAAGGCGCATATGCCACAATTTTGTCGTATCATCACAGGACTCAACAGAGTGAACTCCACCTGCAACGGTACTCCCTAACAATCTGTAGATATTCCCTGCAGTCATCTTGCCTTTCATCACAGTCAATGCTCCTTTAACAATCCGAATGGTTTCCCTATCCTCGTCAGCCTTAGGGATAAAACCATTCTTGTGCAAAGTGCCCAAGGAAATCAAATTCTTCTTCAAGTCTGGGATATGTCGAACACCACTCAACGTCCGAACGGAGCCATCGTGCATCTTAATTCTGACATCACCAATACCAACAATATTGCAACATCGATCATCACCCAAATAAACCGAACCAGAATTAACCGGCATGTATGTCGAAAACCATTCCCTATTTGGCGTGATGTGATAAGAACATCCAGAATCAAGAATCCAAGCATCCGTCAATTGTGTCGTTGAAATAGAAAGCATATCACCCTCACTGCAATCAGAAGTATCATCCTCGACCACGTTCACAGACTTGGATGAGCCATCACGCTTCTCATCGGTCTGCTTTTTCAACTTCGGACAGTCTCGCTTCATATGTCCCGCCTCCTTGCACTTGTAACAGTGAATCGTCTTCTTATCCCTGGATTTGGATCTGGAATTCCGCTTCCCGGACCCTGCCTTCTCTGGCTTCCGTCCACGATCTCGATTACCCTTGACATATAAGCTATCGGCTTGAGAGCTTTCCCCTGCATTCTGCTTCCGCTGGTTGTGAGCCAACAAGGCTGCAGTAATCTCCTCAACATTGATAGTCTCTTTCCCATATGTAAGAGTAGTCACCATGTGTTCGTAAGAGGAAGGCAACGAACACAACAGAATCATCGCTCTGTCTTCATCCTCAATTTTCACATCAAGCCGAGCCAGATCAGAAACGATTTGATTGAAGACATTCACGTGTTGCGCCAAATCGTGATCGTCCTGCATCTTCAGCCCATACAACCGCTGCTTCAGATACAGTTTTGTCGTTAAGGATTTGGACATAAATTGACTTTCCAACTTCCTCCAAATTTCGTCTGGAGACGATAGATGCATGACGTGATACATGACCTCGTCCGCCAAGCATAATCGTATGGTTCCTGCCGCTCGCTGCTGCAATTCTTCCCAATCTTCCTCATCCATCGACGCCGGCTTTGTAGGTCGCAAAGCCTTCAAGATCCCTTGCTGCGCCAATAGATCCTTCACCCTCGTTTGCCATAATCCGAAGTTACCCTGACCATCGAATTTCGCGACTTCGAATTTTGCTCCTGACATCTGATACCAATTGTTGACGAAAACGGGTAAAGAAAACGAAAGAACACGAGAATTTTACGAGGTTCGGCAATGTGCTTACGTCCTCGGTGCCTAGGCGGCGCTAGAAGTTTTATTCAATAATTTTTTAGGTCTAGGTTACATCTCTATTTATAATAGAAAACCCTGGTACATAATTACAAAATCAACCCTGTACCGTACCGCGGGGGCTGCGCCCCCACACCCCCAACCCACATAATTCGTAACCCCACAACGAGACTTTTTATGAGCCATACATAACAAGTCTAGTTCCAAAAGTGAAGTTTCCCAGAGTGTTAAGCTGCAGGAGGAAGAAAATACTGGTGCTGAAGAAAATGGGGAGAGAATAGGTGAAATTGAGGGTACCATTTCAAATACGGAGTCTAAGATAGATTCAGTTCCTGATGTAGAACAGGCTTCTCCTCCATTGGCAGCTCCTTCCATTGAAACTGTAATTACAACTGAGTTAGCTTCTGCGGAGGCTAGTTCCAAAAGCGATGTTCCCCACAGTGTTAAGCTGGAGGAGAAAGAAAATACTGGTGCTGAGGAAAATGGGGAGAGAATGGATAAAATTGAGGGTACCGCTTCAAATACGGAGTCTAAGATAGATTTAGTTTCTGATCTATAACAGTCATCTCCTCCAATGGCAACTCCTGCTATGGAAAGTGAAATTATAACTGAATTAACTTCTATGGAGTCTAGTTCCAAAAGCGAAGTTCCCCACAGTGTTAAGCTGGAGGAGGAAGAAAATACCGGAGCTGATGAAAATGGGGAGAGAATTGGTAAAATTGAGGGTACTACTTCAAATACAGAGTCAACGGTAAATGTAGTTCCTGATATAGAAAAGTCTTCTCCTCCATTGGCAGCTTCTGCCATTGAAAGTGAAATTAGAACTGAATTAGCTTCTTTAGAGTCTAGTTCCAAAAGCTAAGTTCCCAGTGTTAAGCTGGAGGAGGAAGAAAATACTGGTGCTGAGGAAAAATGTGAGAGAAGTGGTAAAATTATGGGTACTACTTTGAATACGGAGTCTAAGATGGATTTAACAGTGGAAGAAGTTTCTGCTCAAGTGGCAGCTTCTGAAAATAGTAAAGTGAAATCGCAATTCAATCTACTTCTTTAGGAGCATGCTCCAATATTGAAATGCTTTACAGTCTTGAGTTCCAGGAAAGTGGAAAGGATGATGGTGGTGAAGAAGCTTCTCAGAAATGTGTGCCTTCCAAAGAACATGGCGAGGAACATAGCTTAAATACATAAAAAATGTTAGCGATGATCAAGGATGCCGATGAAGGTAACGTTGGTGAAATTAAGCGGAACTCCACGTTATCTGAGGTCAATTCAATTCTCAATGAGGCTACGGTCCATAAACCAGTGAATCAATCTGTTGACAGTGACACAGTCGAGAGCTAAAAAATGGTAAGTTCTCTATTTTTGTTTATATTGCAGTTAATCGTGTTTCTTTTGGGTGTTTGTATTCAACTTGGATATCTCAGTCAGCATTATGTAAATGTAATACTATAAATAATGACAATTTGACAAAACTGATGATGGGATATTGAATGGTTTCCCCCTTCTCCTACTTAAAATAATTTTACATAGAAAGTAATCATCAGTAATCCTATATTGCTTTTTGATGCCATCAGAGCTGTAAAGACTGAGGCCAAAGGAATATCAGAGTAAGGATCCTGTTTTTGTGCAACTAACCCAAGATTCAAACATAAAATATTAGTTTAACAACGATAATTAATGACAACATTGGTGCATTAATGTAATATTCTTCCTGTCTGGATTTATTTGTGCTCTCAAATCAAATTGCCTGAAGTTCTATGTATATTGTTTCTTGCAGTTAGATGAGGCCGTGCCTTTCTCATTTTCCATAGGTGTAGAGTTACATTCAGGTGGAACAACTTTGGAAAGGTAAATTACTCTACTGTCAAAATGAATACACAAAGATGTTTCTATCTGTCTTATAGATTACTGCATTGGTTACTCTTATTAGTAAGAATCTTTATTCGCATGAAAGATCGAGTGGCTGGTTGAAAATTTTGTTCTTACGCTTGTCTTCTGGCCAGATTGTCGTTGTTCTCTATGATTTACATTTTTATATAATTGATTGATCGTCCACCCTTTTGTGAAAACTGTGAGGATACAACAATCATTATTTCCCATTCCCAAAAAAAGGCCAGTGAGCTGATACTAACATACCAGATCAAAGATGATAAGCTGGGTCAGTATATGGATCACCTTTTTCACAAGTTTCTTACATCCTCATGTTTGCTTTTATAAATGTATCCAAACAGGGAGGAAATTCCAGCAGCAGGTTTTTTCTTATATTCTGGTGCTGCTCTATTGCCAAATCCGACTAAGGTACTTAAGGATGGCCATCACCAATTTCACCTTTTTGATTAATTGTTTTAATTTTCCAAAATTATGATTTGGAAATTATTGTCAAATTGGATGAAAACAAATCAAAATTCTGTGTGAAAGTTACAATCAGGTTTTGTCTAGTTTGACATTTTAACATGTCAGATCAATATAATTGCCAAAAAACGCCTCTCTCACACATTAGTCACAGTGGAGTAACTTTATGAACTTTGGATGTAATGTTATAAAAGTAACAATACTACCATTGAAACGAATTTTGAAAGACGTCCGTTGCTTGGGCACTTTGATGTATGCTTGACTTGAGTTCGAGAATTTCATTTGAGTAATTCGGAAAGTAATAATTCCAGGCCTTCGCAGGTGGAGAAGATGCTTATTTTATTGCCTGCCAGAACTGGCTAGGTATTGCTGATGGAGTTGGTCAATGGTCTCTTGAAGGTATTATTCTTTGTATGGAGTGAGTTTATGCTGCATTTTTCCCCTTGCACTGCAAACCATGAAAGAGTTGCTAGGATATATATCAAATTACATTAAATGTATGCTGAATCCCTGGCAGCCTACTGAAACACAGAATAATTGTTATCCTATGTCTTGCAATGTCTGGATTGAGTTATTTGTTTCCTATCTCATCCCTCAGGGAATAGTGTTGGAGTATATGCAAAAGAACTTATAGAAAACTGTGAAAGAATTGTATCTGATAGAAATGGAGTTCCAATAACTGACCCAGTTGAGGTCCTTAATAGAGCTGCTGCAAATGCTCGATCTTGTGGCTCATCTACGGTTTTGGTTGCTTACTTTGATGATCAGGTATGTTGTCATTCAACTTGACTTGCTTTTCTCCTATGCAAATTTCAATTAGTAGTTATATAAATTGAATAACTTACAATCTAATCGTAATCAAACTGGACTCAAAATTGACAACCAAATTCTACCAAATCTAGGATTTCACTGGAGAAATGGTAACTTAATATACAAATATACTTTTCAGTTTGATGAAAATTACTCAATTTTTTCTCCGAACTTTTTTATCTGTGCAAAGTACAAGGTTAATGAATTAACAAAAAGTTTTCTCCTAGTATGATTGAAACAGAGTTGTTCATATTGGTATTGAATCTAAAGACAACATATTTCCAGAAGTTCATAATGCTCATGCTTACACTAATTATGATTTGTAAAACTGCTGTTTGTCAAAATATGCATGGACTGACAACTGATACTAATTGTTAGCCGGTCAATCTACTTCGATGGAATAGATATATTTCTTTTCCCAATGGTTTAATTCTAATCGAGAAAAATAAACAAACATGGATCTGAGAATGAGTTTTCCTTTCTACAACTCATACTTGGAAGGCTATGCCTCTATGGATCTGCAGGCTCTCCATGTGGCCAATATCGGTGATTCAGGCTTCCTGATCATAAGAAACGGTGCTGTATTTAAAATATCCTCCCCAATGCTTTATGAGTTGAATTTTCCTGTACAGATTGAAAAAGGAGACCATCCATCTGACTTTGTAGAGGTATACCATTTGAATTCCATTTCTAGTAAGAGTCCCTTACAATTTCTTTTAAAAAGCAGCACTATGTCTTTTGAAAACGTTTATCGAGTTTCATTTAGGCTAGAAAATGAAGGTAAAAGGTTCTTCCCCCCCCCCCCCAACCACATCACCTATAAGAAAGGTAAAATAATAAGGTCAATCTTTTTACACATGGTTGCTGATTTCTTGCAGGTTTACAGAATTGACTTGGATGAAAATGATGTGATTATCACTGCAACTGATGGACTATTTGATAATCTCTACGAGAAAGATATCGCTTATTCGTCTTCAAATTTTGCAAGAGAATTTGAGGCCCCAGGTGCCTATCACTGATCTTGTCATCTCCATCTCCTTTCCCAAATATAGTAGTAAAATGTGTAAGTTGCATATTCGAAATGATAAAATATAGTCTATGTTCATGCAGGAAATTAGAAATGTGAAAATGACAAGATCAGTGATGGCCGGGCTTTGTTGGGGTTGGAAAATGGCCGTGCATGTTAATTAATTAATTTCACATGGATAATGGCAATTTGAAAACAGATAGGAAAAAGATCGGAAGAGAAGACAATACTGACTTCAAAAGCACCAATCTGGCAGTCAAGGATAGTGAAGAAGCTTTCCACCCAGCCAGTTTTTTGTTGAACCTCTGAATAACCAGATCCCACATAATATATGAATTCTTCTTTGCTCCTAGTGGTAACCATAAATATTCCATAAGGAAAGAACCCAAAGAACAACCAATGGATGTGGCCCAATCTTTCAGGATGTCGACTTCTATATTGTCGTCCATCAAGCTGAAAATTCTCGACTCTTTTTACATTTTTAATTTGTCCAAGGGAATCGCAACAGAAAATGACAAGATTAGTCACACATTTTCACATTTCTAATTTTTAGACTATATTTGTCCGAGGGAAGCGCGACATAAAATGCAATAAAATATAGTCTCGGTCATCAGTTAATCACATGTAAAAATGACACGTTAGTATTTTAACCTATATGAACTTATCTAGTCAGTTAAAAAAACATTAACAATTAATTAATTAACGATTTTCGTTAAAAAAATATTATTTTGATAAAAAAATGAGAGGTTAAAAGTTAAAATACTTCAATTATAATAAGGGTGCGTTTGGTTCACGGAATGTAAGATTACCAGTGGGAATAAAAGATTACCAGGGAATAGGATTACTGAGAATGTTGTATTTTGTGTTTGGTTGGTTTAGCATGAATGTAAGATTACCGTGTTTGGTTAAAGGAATAAAAGATTATTGGAATGTATATTTAACCAAATTGTCCTTATTATATATTTGTATAATATTACAAATTGTAAAATATTTATATATTTTCTTTAAAAAATTAAATTCATAATATTTATATAATTTTTTTACAAAATTAAAAATATAAAAAATGTTTAATGAAAGGGTAAAAATTTTTTTATCCCTGAACTTCATATAAAATTTTAATTATAGATTTTTTTTTTGTAAATCTAAAATAATTTAAGGATAAATTTGTAATTTAACCTTCGTAAAATTTTTATTATTCAATTACAGAAGAATGATATTTTTGAAAAAAAAATAAAAATTTAAGGGCATTTTAGTCCAAAATGCCGGTAATGTTACAATACCTAAGGGAATGGAGGTAATGACATTCCCGGTAATATACCCCAAAAAATCTACTATTGGTAATAAAACATTATCAGGAATGAGATTTCCGGCCAATCAAACATGAGAATGTGGGATTCTCATCCCATGAGAATATCACAATCCTTGAACCAAACACTCCCTAATAACAATAACTACCGTGACTATTTGAATAAAAAGTATAAAACATATTTTCAGCATTATTTAGAAAAATCAGGAATCCAGACAAACAGAACATGTAGGTGTGCCTTGTAGGTGTGCCTTGTGCGTGAGTGGATTTTATGTTTTTGCATATCATCATACAGTGACGGATTCAAACAGAATTCAGAGTATCTAAATGTATATTATGAAATCTAATTTTTTAAATCATTTATTTTATTAATTATATTTATTCTAAAATTTTATTTATATTTATTAAAACAAACATGAAAGATAATTTTAAAATTTAAGATATATAAAATATTCTTTAATTTAAGTAAAACATTTGTTTACTAAGTTAATATATATTATTTGTTGTCCAAAGCATATCAAATAGTTGCTCAATGATTTGGTTCCTAATATTTGAGCCAAGCATCCTAAGTTTGATTCCCCTCACCCACTTATTGTTGCGTGGATTTATTTTCTTAAATCCAATGATACATGTCATGACATGTGTCACCAATGATATGTGACATCTCCTGATTCGATGATTAAATTTATTTTAATTTATTAAAATTAAGATCAAATTAAAAGAATATATAAGTTATAGGGACCAATTGTATAATTATACCAAAATGTTTTAACGACCATGTCACCTACTCCGTTAAATGTTAACGACAAATGGTTTGATTGAAGTATTTAAATAGTTAGGTGGTCTGATTGATTAAGTTGAAACATCGATGGTCAAAATGATTTTTTACCATAATTAAGTGGTCACCTGTGTATTTTACCCTATTTAAAATTATATGTTTTTTTGGTTCATTTCATCTAATGTTGACGAACATCCAATAAATATATTCATAAATATCTTTGACCCTCACCCTGAACTAAATTTTTTTCTATACTAAACTTGAATTTAAATTTAAACAATTTTATAAAATTAGATAAAATCAAATTATATTAATTCTAAATATTTTGATCATCTCTAATCCTATTCAAAACACACCACTACTATGATTACCCCATCATAATGTGAAATGAAATTCATACGCGTGTTTGGCAAGTGGAATTGTCTAACTTCTTGAGGTTATAAATACTTTGTAATCAAATAAAGTAATGTGAAACCAAATTTATTTCAAATTGGGAAAACCTCATAAAAGAAATGGTCATTTTTGTTTAAGTTTACAAAATGTTTTCAAAGATCTCATTTTTAAACTTGTATATAAACTTTAAAATATTTTATATCGATTTTTAAGTTATGGTTTCATTCTAAATTGGTATCTAAATTTTAAAATATTTTATATCAATCCTCAAACTATCAGTATCATTCAGTTTTGATCATTTCGTTAATGATTAACACTTATTTTTTTAAGATCGTGATAATTGAACTCGTGATCTTTTTTAATTTTTTTTAATGCTTGGTCTGATAATTGAACGTGTAACTTAAAAAAAGTTAATCCATTTATAAAGGTCATGAGAATCTTTTAGAATATCACAGGTTTAATTATCATAACTTTCAAAAAAAATAAATTAATTTTAAACCGGTGGATAAATGACACGTTAACAGAAGGATCAAAATAGGATGACATTGACAGTCTAAGGACTGATATAGAATGTTTTAAAATTTAAGGATCAATTTAAAATGGAGGTCATAGTTTAGAGACTGATATAGAATGTTTGAAAGTTTTTAGATTAACCTAGAATGTGGGTCATAATTTAAGGACGTCATGTAGGGATGTGCATGGGTCAGGTTTTTGATCCACCTGACCCGACTCGAGAATAAGGAGTCCTCCATCCGAGACCCGACCCGACCAAAACAAGTTTTCACCCGACCGAATCTGACTCGATATATAACTTAAAAATCCGACCCGACCCGAAATAATAAAAAACTATTTTTATTCAATAAAAAATAGTGATTTAATTGGAAAAAAATAATATATAAAGGGGTATTATTGTAATTATTCCTAAATATATAAGGTAAAATTATATATTTTTTTGATTGGATCGGATCGGGTATTTTCACACTAAACTCAACCCCGACCCGAATATTTTTATAAAAAAAACGACCTGATCGAGTTAGATCGGGTCGGGTCAGAACCCATCGGGTTCGGGTGCATGCCCATCCCTAACATCATGTGGAGTTATTTAATTTTTTTGTTCTCTCACGACATGTGTCTAGGATCGGGTTCCCTTTTTAACACGGGCTTTAGGTATCCCGAATCATTTCATATCACCGGCCTACTTCATCATGTATAGCGGAGTCCGACATTAATTCTAAAAATGGGGTTGTAAATTTAAATTTTAATGTATGAATAAAATAAGCTTAATTAAAAGGATATTTTTATTATAAAGTTTTATAATATTTGAGTAAAATTAAACGAAAATAAATTAAATATTAATTGATCATAAAATAAATATAACATGAAATACGAACATGGGAAGTTGTTGGTAATTATGCCAACGCACAACTCAGTGGCATTCTTTTTAAAGTCAATGAGAAAATAAATTTTTCGATATTCGGCCAACCTCAAATATCTTAGGCTCTTAGCTACGTGTAACATGTTAATTGAATTGGGACCATCCAACCTATTAAGCAACTTATATAGTCTAAAGTAGAAATTAAACCGTGTGGCGTTCATTGCTTGTTGCCCCCACTCCGTTTCGTTCTCTTTTAACAATCAAATTTATTTGAATTTTGTTACTTAAAATAAATTTAAATTATTGTACATTTTAAATATTCAAAATTTAATTTTTATTTTTGAATATAAAATCAAATCGAAATTCATCGGATTCGAATCACATGATCATCTCTATATATAAGTCATCGAATTAATCTTTATATTTTAGTTTGATCATATGTATGTGTGTATTATACCTCTCATTAACTATACACATCATTATTAGACTTTGTCTTTTACTTAAATATCATTTCAAACAAAATTTAATGTCAAAAATAATATTTATTTTAGATTATTTTTTAAATTAACACATTTTTTGTCATATAGGACAAAGACACATAAGAACGTATTGAATGACTTCAATGATAAAATAAAATATTATTCTTTTTAAATGATTTAGATTCGAACAATTGTGTTTGTAGGGTGTGTTGTCATATATTAAGAAAAATTCAAAATAAATCTTATCTCATTTCAACTTAACTCTAAAAATTCTGATAGATTTATGTTATATCAATAAAAGACACATCATATGAAAATGTTAATTTTTAAAAAGCGTTATACTTTTATCTTACTTGATAGAAAATAATATCAATTAAAAAATTAAAAAAATATTGTTTTTAATATTAATTTTTAAGGTTGTTTTTATATTTGAGTAAAAAAAATACTTTCTCATCCATATGAGTATGCAAATGAGTGGTCATGACCTTTTTTTTATTTTTTATTTTCACTTTTAATTCTCGTGGAAATCATAGAATTCGATTTTTGAAAAGAATTGTTCTGATATGGTAAGAAATCAAGGGAACCTTAACACCTTTGCATTGAACCGACTCGTGTGAACCCACATGCCCCCCTCTCTCTCTCGGTTTCTCTCCTCAATAAATCCCCTCATCCCCTTCATTTCCCCTTACTTCATATCTTCCAAAAAGCTTCCTTTTTTCTTCTTCTTCTTCTTCCCCAAACCCACTCCTTGCTGCCTCATCTGTTACTGTTTCATATCTCAACAATGGCAGCTTCAAGATTCTCTCTTGCTTTGTCACTCGCCATTCTCTCAATCTGGGCCGTCGATGCCGACCACCACCATGCGGCGGCGCCGTCTCCTTCCTCCTCCGTGGACTGTTCCTCTCTGATTCTCAACATGGCGGATTGTTTGTCGTTCGTGTCCAGTGGGAGCAAGGCGTCGAAGCCAGAGGGAACGTGCTGTTCCGGGTTGAAAACCGTGCTGAAATCCGGACCCCAATGCTTGTGCGATGCTTTTAAGAGCAGTGCTTCTCTTGGTGTTTCTCTGAATATCACAAAGGCCATGACCTTGCCCGCTGCTTGCAAAGTCTCTTCTCCTCCTTCTGCCACTACCTGCTCATGTGAGTTAACTCGGCTTTTCTTTTTCTGCTTTCAAAACGTAGTTAAAATGTTGCTGGGAAAGTGAATCTTGAATTGCACGGGGGTTTCAAAGGGGTAAAGTTGTTATATTTTTTGGGGGGAAATCTGTCATTTTACGTTGCAGTGAAAAAACCCAGATTTTGATTCTTAGAACTGATGATTATTTATTTTTGTTGCAGTGTCTCCTGCTGGTGCTCCAGGTATGTTCTGATAAATCTAATCTTTCTGTCTGGTTTTGATTCTTAGAACCGATGATTATTTATTTTTGTGTTTCCATCTTTTGTTTCTCTCTGTCTGGTTTTGGTCAATCATGTTAAAACTGTTCAATTGGTTGGCAAACTTGTAGGCATGGCACCATCAGCGATAGCAGGTGCGCCGGAGGCATTCTCAGGAGGAGCAACTGTGTCAGCACCAACACCGGCTCCCGGCAGCTCGGGTGGCGCTCCAGTGCTTACTGCCTCGATCGGAGCTCTTGTCTCAGGCCTTGTGATTATGTTAATGTGTAGCTACTAAGCTATGTATCTTATGGTGTTCAATTTAGTTTACCCTTTGGTTTTGATGATCCATCCTTTTGAGTATTAGTCTGATATTCAGAACTCGGATTGTATGTTGATTTCCCATTAATATTTCTAGTTATCTCCATGGTTTTGAATTGATTGATTGTGTTTGTTGATGAGGGGGAGGATCAGTCCCCACCATGTTAATCTGTCATGTGAACTCATTGACGAGTGTTTGAGGACAACTGCTTTTCATGGATATCATTTTACAGTAAACAATCTTCCTGGTCCTAGCTTGCCTTTCTCTATCAATGGCAGCTTTGTCCTCTGTGAACAAAGAGTTTTGTTTGGTTTTGGACAGCTTAACTTTCATCTAAACAATTTGACAAGAAAATGTAACGTGGAAGATACTATTATTTAGGGTTCTAATTCCAATTTTGAAGAACATATCCGAACTGCATCAGCCACAGTGAGAAAGATCCTTTCCTCACCTATCAAATCTGAAAGCTTTGAGGCATGAAGCTTGTCAACAGCAACTGACCCTGGATTAGATAAAACAAGCTTAACATTCTTCTTTTCAAGAGCTCTTAACAATTCTTCAAGAGCATGGATGCCACTAGTGTCAATGTCCGTAACAGCTGCAAGAATATGCAAATTTCATAAGAAAAATAACCCTTTTTGCCAAACTTGAAAATAACATATAGAAAAAGAACCTATTTTGCCAAACTTGAAATGACATATGCGTTGAAAAACAAATACTGAATTCTGGGTTGGGTTTAAAGTTTGAAAGTTTGAACTCTGAGTTCTCCTTAAAGAATTCGGGTTCGATCACTTGCGTATAAAGGGTATGTTTGGTATGTTTATATTGTCAATAAACTAAGAAATAAATATGTAATTCTGGGTTGGGACTAAAAAAACAGGTATGGAAGATCGAAGATTAACTTACGGCACATTTCAACAATCAGATACTGAATTCTGGGTTGGGATTTTCCTTTCAGTTCTTCTTCTTCATCAGCCAACCATCTCAAGATCCTTCCTTTTACATAGTTGGAGTTGGAGAAATAAATTGCAGAATCAACTCTAACAATGAGAATCCCTGCAACTTTTGTTGCATCTGGATATTGCATGATATTCCTGTAAACATTATTAGTCTTCGGAACTTTTCCAAGGATTGCTGTTCTAGGCCTTGTAACTTGTAATAGGATCTTTGCAAATGATACTGAAACCTATTGCAGCAAGAAATAGATGTTTAGTGTATGTATTTACGAAGCCGGGATTTAGGTACGTAACTGACACGAACCGCGATTAGAAGACCGATCTCGACGGAGGAGAAAACAACACCGAAGAAGGCTCCCATACAAGTGACAAAATCGAATTTATCGATCTTCCATATTAGAGCCACCGCATCAATGTCGATTAGTCCGACCATCGCGGATATAATGATCGAAGCGAGTATTGCATTCGGTGTGTACTTGAACAACGGTGTGAAGAGTGCCAACGTTAGCAGTACGATGATGGCCATCACTATATTAGAAACAGCTGTTTCACAACCGGACATGTAGTTTACTGCTGAGCGAGAGAAGGACCCTGCAATTTGCATTCAGACATGAAAAAAAATTACAGTGATTCATATGTATATATGTATGTACTCATACATGGCATGTACGTATGTTACACCTGTGGATACATAGCAAGATGTAAAGGAACCAACAATGTTCATTGTTCCTAATGCTACCATTTCTTTGTTTCCATCCAATTGGTAGTCTTTCATGGAAGCAAATGTTCTTCCAATTGCAACAGCTTCCTAAAGAGAGAAATATATTTGTGTTTAGATATAAAAGAAAGATACGGTGATCCAATTTCGAATCCGGGGTATGCGTTTTTATCGTACCGTCAATGCTATCATTCCCGAAACTACACCGATCTTAAAACCTTTGCCAACGTATTCTCCAGAGAAGAAAATTTCTTTTGCAGATGGTGGATTGATGCCTTTTCTGATATTTTTCACCTAAAGATACCAATTGTACGAAAATCTAGATTACTTTGCAAAGGAGATAAAGCTCGGGAAACAATCAAATATGATACGATATACATATGATTTGAACCCCACGCTTATCGGCTCGTGTGGCGTACACTAAAATGGTGGAGATGATGACCGAGATCAATGAAGCGATGGCTGGAACCCAAAATAGTTTCTTCTGCCTTTTCCCCTGTTTCCATTTTCTTGTTACATTATGATCATTAATATCAAATGAAGAAAACTTTTTCTGCAAGATAGGGTTTGATCTTACAATGTATTTTGTAACCAATAGGAAGATCAAAAAGGAAATCCCTATTAGTTTAGTTTGCCAATTCCACTGTAAAAAAACATGGTAAAAAACCAAATTTAAACTTGTTTCTTGCCACACAAGAAAGTAAAAAAATCTCAGATTGTAATTTACTTACACCATGACGCGCTGAACTGATTACTGAGTCCATTACAGAGACAATATCAGTTTCCTTTGTGAACTTTTTGATTCCAAGTAGACCTTTGAGTTGTTGAAGTGCAATGGTGATCGCAGTACCGGCCATGAAGCCGACTATGGTGGCATGAGATAGAAAGTCTATCAGGAATCCCAACCTGTAACCAAACATACCTGTATTCGAAACACGCACCGAAGTTCGAATAACAAATCCCTGAGAGTGATATTTGATAATATATATACCTGAAAAATCCAAGTAACAATTGAGTTAGGCCAGCAAAGAAAGTAACTGTAAGCGCAAGGCGCCGGTAATCGACCGGATTAGCAGATGAGTCGATCTCATCTTGCAGCAGACTGCCGAGCAAAAGAGACACGACTGCCACTGGTCCAATAGCGATATCCCGTGAGCTCCCCATGAATGCATATACAAGAGGTGGAACAAAGCTACTATCTGTCATGCAATTGAAATCAAGTTCCTCAAATCAATATGATCCCACCAGAATATATACACACACACACACATATATATATATATATCTGAAATCAATATGAATACATACACAGTCCATATTGGGGATCAAGATTGGCAAGCTTTGCATATCCAATATCCTGTGGAATGCAAAGACTTGCAATAGTAAGCCCGGCCGGCAATCAAATCGCTTTTGAATTTCGAAAGATTATAGTCCCTTCCCCATTCTAATATCGGAAAAACCGCTCGGAGGCAGAGGCCGAACTTTCTCGAGCTCGGTTGATCCTTGAATCGGCGCAAAGGTTCGTCTGCAAATAAAATTTCCTTCACAGCTGCTGCAAATTCTTTAAACAGGTGTCGCTTCTCCGAACTACGACGAGACAACGAGCTGCTAACGCTTTCCGTCTCCTTGGAGCCATGCTCATCAGTTTCAGGGTGAGCCATTCTCTCTAAGGGCTTTGTTTATAACCTACAGGCTACAGGATTCGCATCCGCACACACTCGTGGATAACATGTTTGTTTAAACATAAATTCACACACTCAAACGATCATCGTAAGTTCATAACCCTATATCTATATCTAAACATGAATCGGACATGGAAGATCAAGGGATTTGGAGATTCGATGAACTCGAAATCTGTTCACAGACAGCGTTGAACTCTAAGCTCCTGGAAACAGAAGGCAAACGACACAGTATATTTTCCATTTAAGGACTGAAACAAAACATTTGATGTGAACACAGCATGAGATCTTGGCTACATTACAAAGTCAAAAACACTAGTAGAAAAATAATGCGCTTTATTCTTATCTTCAAGCTTTAGTCTCCTCTTAATTTAGTCATTACACGTACATATACTATATATATCCTTGAGCTTAACAAATTACTCTTAAAATGGACTAAAACAAATTAATTATTCTTTTTAAGGCAATTTCGCCCTTTTTTTCATATGTTAAAACATGATTTCATTAAATAGTCATCATGATTTTGATTATATATATATTGTGAAATTAAAGAAATACCATGTTTAGTGCATGGTAAATTGTTTCCCATAAACAAATAGCATACTAATAAGAGTTTTATGTCAGTTCAATTAAAACTTCTAAAAATAACTGTGATAAACAAATTTATATATAATGAAGTGTCAAATATAAAAATATATAATTGACCATAATTATAATTATTATAATAATAAAATTCATTGTCAAAGCATGCATGCAACGTCCACATCCATCAGTTCACATTTCTCACATATTCCAAAACGCACACCTCAACCATCGACTAAGGACCACATTAACATTAAAATGAAATTTACCCAAATTCTCACACAGTTTTCCTTTTTCAAGTAAATGGGTTCATCAACAAGGCCAAAACTCAGCCTTTTTCACCTTTGAAATGCTCTCCAACACCCCCGCCGGCGATACGTGCCCCATCACCGTCACCCTCTTGCTCTCAACGTCGATGCTGAACGATGTAACCCCTGCGTACCAAACAACTTTTTGCATCAGCCAATCACAAAATAAAATGTGCTTTCATGGCTTCGTATTTATTGTTTTACAGCAAGGTAGCTGGGTTTTGCCCTATCTGAACCCTAGTATTAAGTTGTGGTTGCGGTCATGACCGTAGATATAGATGTTGCGGATGTTACGGCCCAATTTATTTCTTAAAAATAACTATGTTTCTATGTTACGGACATAAGGTTAACTATCACGGGAGTTAGGGTTTACGTGTTGTTGGCTTAAAGATCCATGTGAAAACCATAGCTAGTTATCATTGCTGAGGGTTAATTATGCTATTATTTTAGGTCGGATTTTTTCATCATAAATTTAAATCTGATCTGACTTGATTCATCTTTAAAAAAACTTTAACCTGAATCAGAATTTTTCAATAAATGATCTGATAAGATTTGATCAAATCGGAAGTCGTAGATTCAGGTTAAATATCCATCCTAGATTGCCCCTCCCACCTCCGACGTACGGATCTCTGGCCTTAGCTCTTAGGTTTTGAAGGTACATTCAGTGCAGCCCCCTCCCGTTTGCTGGGTTGGTGCCAACTTGCAACTTGAAAAACAAGGTGAAAACGATATGACGAGAAAGGCAGAAACATCGGTCCTCGACTCTTTTATATACCAAGTAATGAGCCAATGTAGACTATTGATTTCTTGATACCTCAATATTGGGTGAAAAAACATCAATATGATTAAGTTTAAGGCTTTAGGCTCTCATTCTTACATGACGCTATGATTTAACAGAAATGACATGAATGAAGTAAGGCTGCATCATGCATGGATTCGCCTATATATATAGAAAGTAATGATTATATATATACCTTCCATTTTGGATAAATGTTTCTTCACTTTACCAGCACAACCTTGACAATGAATGGACACCCGCATGACAACCACCTGCAATATCTCGTTTTCTTGGTGAAGATGATATATACATTTGTGTCTGTGTGTATATTGAAGGATGTATGATAGAAGACGTGATCACCTGAAAAACAAGCTCCGATGAAGCTACTTGAACTGGTTGATGAAGGTGCTTTGGCTTCTGTTGTTGATTTTGTTCCTTTCTTACAAAAGGAGTGGTAACAATGGGTCTCTTCATGCCAGCTCCAACAAATCGTCCAGACTCAACGAGCCTAGAATACCTTGCATTGTTGAGTGATCTTTTACCGTGATCGTCTACGAGGAGTCTGTCGAGCCTCCTCGGCATCACAATGGAGCGAGGATCGACCGCCATGCACGCGGTGTTTACCGATGTGGACTGGCACATGAAACCCCTAATCATCTTCCCGTTCTTCATCTTTGAAACGACGAGAGGGGAAGAGCAGGGGAGAGTTTTCAAGGAAGTATGGTAACCCAAAGGAGAGAAAGGTATTTATCATATGTAAAGTGCTACACATTTATGACGTAGCTAGCGAGTTCTTGGGGGCAGTGAAACTATGTTCTTATCGGAATCTTTCATTTGGTAAATTGTATTTATATTTAAGCACATAAAATTTTACGTTAACCTTAGTAAAATAATAATTTTCATTTAACAATGATTATTTTGATAAAAAAATATTATAAAAATATATGTCAAAATGATCATTTAAATTCAATATTGAGTGCTAATTTGACCATGACATGATTACAAAAAATACCTATAATATTTATTTAAATAGTCATTTTTGTCCCAATATTTTATTATAGGATAAAAGGTTCTCTAACGTTTGACTAAATAATTAGTTTAATCTATATTTTTTTTATTTAAAGCATTTTGGCCACTAATGTATCATTTTTTAGAGCAAAAATAATTTTATTTTATCTTGATATAATGGCAAAATGCCTCAAACGTTTGTCTAAATATTCATTTTGACCCGTATTTTTTTCTTGAATATTTTGACACTCCAACATTTGACTAAATAGTCGTTTTAGCTCATATTCTTTTCCTTTTTCGCCCCCAAAACTTTATTTTAGAATAAAAAAATCCCTATTTTAGAGGGAAAATATTTTTATTTTGGATCGTTTATTAACTAACGTTTTTATCCACGGATGAGCCTTTTTCTCGGATAAAACGTTAGATGTCAAAATATTTTAAAGAAAATTGAGATCAAAGTGACTATTTAATTAAATGTTATAAATATTTTTTTATCATTATATATAAAATTATCAAACTTAATTAATCATCTTATACAGCAAACATTAAATCTATTCATCTAGAGACAATGAATGAAGAAAGTAGAAGAGAGGAACAAAGAAGGAAAAATGAAATTAAGACTGGGAGAACTATAAATGAATTGAGAGCAAGACAAAGGTAAAAGAGGGGTAAGACTGCAAACATACAGAGCTGGTAACAACTAACATGTCAGAGTGAGAGGTGACCATCTGTGTTGTGTCATATGAGTATGGTTTTAAATTCTTTAAATTGACCTTCCATGCCCAAACTGCCACTGCCATTTTTGTTTCTCGAAAGGAAACTTTTGTGTAAATGTCAAACATGACATATTGCAGTCACTAACATGTTCGAGCCTTTCTTACCCCAAATTATTTTATTTTTCTCTTAAACTAAATTTTGAACAATAATGATAATAATAAAAATAGGATAAACTATACATTTAGTGCATCAACTATCATTTTTCTCTCTTTTAATCATTAAACTATTATTTTTTGAAAACGAACCTATCGTTGTGTTTTGTTTCATTTTAATCACCGCCGTTAAAAGATTAATAGAACTGTTAACAAGGTATTTTTTTTTAAATTCAATGATGACATGTCATTATCTTATGATGACATGTCAGTATCACTTTAAATTTTTTAACGATAGATGATCAAAATGAAACCAAAACATAACATTAAATATGATTTCGAAACAAAAAATAATTAGATTACCAAAACAAAAAAAAAGGAATAATAGTTAATATACTAAACAAGTAGTTTACCCTAAAAAGTAATAGTTAATATACAAAATTACTCCTAACGTTTGCACACGTGGTCATTTTCCCCCTATCATTTTTAGTGCATTTTAACTCCCAACGTTTTATTTTAGAGTAAAATATCCTATGGTTGGATGAAACTCGTTAATTGGCTAACAATTAATGCTTCCTATTGACGTGAAAGGTGCACATCTGATGTCACATCAGTAAAAAAAAATTAAAGTAAAATATTAGGGTAAATTATGAGAATAATCCGCTATGTTTTCAGTCAGACCGAATTTCGTCACCAATTTAAAATTTAAGGGGAAATGATTCATGACTTTATCGATCCGTTTGATTTTAGTCCTTCGACCGTAAACTCCCTTTCAATTTTAGTCCCTCAAACATGTTAGTGAATTAAATAAAAGGGACTTAAACAAAAGAGGGTTAACATAAATTAATAGCATATGGGACTTAAACCGAATAGATAGATAATGCGAGGGACCATTTACCCTTAATTTTTAAATTGGTGACTAAATTCGGTCAGACCCTAAACAAAAATGACTATTCACATAGTTTACCCTTGTAATTAATTACATATACACTTATAAAAATAAATTTAAAATTATTTTTTGATGGCATGACATCACATGTGGACTTGCCATATCAATAGGAAGCATTGACCATTAGTCAACCAATGGTTCTCATCCGATCAGGGGACATTTTGCTCCATAATAAAACTTTGGTGACTAAAATGCTCTGAAAAGAAGATAGGGGTAAAATGACTAGATGTGTAGATATTAGGGGGTAATTTTATTATTATGTAAAAAATAAAACCAAATCAAAAACTCCAATTGAGATTTTGGGTTGAAATTTTTATACTTAAAATGTGTGTTCTTTAAACAATTTTAAGAATATTTAAACTCTAATAGTTTGGTTAATTCATCGCTCCTTTATCATTTTGTAAAATGTCTCGTTTAATAGAGACAATTAATTTTTATGAAAACTACTGGATTCTTTTGGTGTTGATCGTCATTCTCAAAGAAATATTTTATTTTTCTTCCTATATTTGGGTTTATTATTTTTGTATAAACTTTTTGTGATTATTGTCTATATTTTTCTCTTTATGCTAGTGTATTGTCATTATCATTCCTTCCATTATTTTTTTTTTAATAAAGTTAAGTTGTCATTGTTAAAAAAACCCATAAATAATTTATTATATAATAATAAATAAATGTTAAAATTGATATTCTTTTTTCAAAAATATTTATGTAAAAGTATAAACTAAATTATTTGGATTAAAAATTACGTTTCAAATTTATTAATCAATTATAATCAAAATAAAAAAAAGTAGGGAGAATAAATAATGTACGGCACGGGGTATTAAATAATTGTCAATCAAACAAAAAGGTAGATAACAAAATGGACAAAATGAGTATATATTGATTGTTTAACCACTTTTCTTATCAGTTATAAATGGTGAAGGTAATTATTTCATGGATGGGTAGTGAATTTTTCTCATAAATGTAATTCTAATATGAATTCATCACGTGGTATTAGTAATTAAAGAAAATATTATTCTTTTAGAGATTTTACGCTTAAACAGTTGCGTATACGGGAATGTATGTATATTATCAATGATTAAAGATATTCTAAATAAATATTACTTTATAATCATCGTAACTATAAAAAAATGATTCCACATCAATTATTCTACCATCAAAGAATAATATATATTAGTATTCATTTATACAATATAAAATTTAAAGTTTTATTCTCTTGGATTTGGTTAAAAATAAATCACTCATTTATTTTATAAAAAATCTTTTTATTTTATATCGTTAATTTTAATCATTTATTTTTTAATTAACAATTTAAAAACATATAAAGTTTTTACATTATATCGATGGATTTCCACTTACGTATAAAGAATTTGACACTTTCAAGAAGGACAGTCGTCTCCACTCACTTTCTCATCGATCCATTACTGCCCACCTTGGCTATTATTTATCCCTTTCGTCTTTGTGGCTCCACCCATTGGGCATTGCAGTGAAAAGCCCACATGTCTGAAGTTTGGGGGTTATAAGAGCCCCACCAATGGCCCAACACAACACTAAGTGATAAGGTTTGCTTAACTGTCTAAACTTGGAACTCATCATTCTACCTTGTAAAATATATCATTTTATTAAGAGAATCTGAATTCGAACGACTGTGTTTATAATATGTATATGTTATTATACGTTAAGAAAAAATTTAAATAGATATTATCTTGTAATCACTCAATTATTAAATTTATATATATGTACACACGTGGTGGGATCTGTTGTCACGGTGCAAAACCTTTAAATTTGTAATTAATAGTTAGATGATTGAAAATAGATGATTGAAATTAACCATACGAAATAAGAAGATTTTTATTGAGAAAAAATGGATTATATTATATTAATTTTCTCTATTGTTCAATTAAGTGAATTTAATTATTAAAAAAATATATAAAACTTTAAAATTTAATAAACGTAAGAAAAAATCATTTAAAAGATATATATAATAGTGTTCACGCAGACTTCTATTCTTGTACAGATTGCCAATTGATTGGGTCAAAACCTCAAATGATTCGTCTACTGGCTATCTTCATCTCGCCGTCGATGTTAAGGTTTCTTTTTTACCCTATTTTCTATTTTCAACTCTCTCCTTTTCGCTGAAGAAAACTTTTTTGCCCTTTTAGCTTAGTTTTCTGAGATTCTACTGCTCATGAATTTGTTCGTAGCCGTTTTATTGGAAAATTTGTCACTTGGAATTAAAACATAGAAGGTCGGTTCTTTAATTTCTTCTTCAATTCGTTTCATGGCTGTTAAATTGATTGTAGATAAATCGTTCTTACTTAATTTAGCTGTTACTTGTCTCAGCTTTACGATTGCTGCAATTTTTTTGTTTGGAATTAATTGAGGATTTTTGTGAAGAACCTTTGTCGAACTGTTGAACTTGGGGATTTGGGTTTTTCTCTTTTGTTCTTGCTGGATGAGAAGTGATCAAAACGTTGACCTTTTTATTTGACTTTTAATTGGTTTCTGAGAAAAATTGACACTTAAGGAAGCAACTTGTTAATGTTTTCTTTATAATTGTTCTGATATTACTGATCTTATACATGCAAAACGTTTAACCTGCCAATTTATTGATGAATATTTGTTCTGAAACTGATTTATATGGAAAGCGAAGTTTTTCGAAGGTGATCTTTGAACTTTGTTTTTTCTTTTAATGCTTAATTTTTCAATTTGCTGGGCATATTATTTATAAATTTCTTCCTTCAAGCAGATGGCAATACTGTAAACTAAAGCTTCCGGCCTTATAATTCAACTTTGACACCTTCCATGTTACTCTGCTTTTCTGTTCTTGTCTCAGATACCAGATAATCTTTTTTGTTGATTAATATCTTTGCCATCAAAGGTTTCTCTGGATTAATATTTCAATGGGGGCATTCTTAAGTCTAAATAATCCCAGGGCTGGAATGAGTGAGCCCTTACACATTTCGCAAGATCGAGCGTGCAAAAGGCAAAAGATGTCATCATGTGATTGTGAAGAGAATCCGAGATTGATTCCCAGCCTTCCTGATGAAATATCATATCAGATTCTAGCCAGAATTCCAAGGATTAATTACTTGAATGTGAGGTTAGTGTCTCGAGCCTGGAAAGCTGCCATCATGAGTACTGAACTTTTTAATACAAGGAAAGAACTTGGAACAACTGAGGAATGGATCTATATATTGACTAAGGTCGAAGGTGACAAGCTTTTGTGGTATGCTTTGGACCCATTGTCAAGAAGGTGGCAGAGGTTGCCTCAAATGCCCAATGTTGCTTTAGAAGATGAATCCAGGAAAGGTTCAGCCAGCCTTCGGATGTGGAATGTTGTCGGCTCCGGGATAAAAATTGCAGATGTTGTCAGGGGTTGGCTTGGGCGGAAGAATGCATTGGACAGAATGCCATTTTGTGGGTGTGCCATTGGTGCTGTTGACGGCAGTCTCTATGTGTTAGGAGGATTCTCTAGAGCTTCAGCCCTGAGGTGTGTTTGGCAGTATAATCCAGTTCTAAATTCATGGAGTGAAGTAAATTCAATGTTAACAGGTAGAGCCTATTGTAAGACTGCCATCTTAAATAATAGGCTATACGCTGTTGGAGGGTTTACCAAGGGCCATGGTGGTTTAACCCCCCTTCAGTCTGCTGAAGTATTTGATCCTCATACTGGTATATGGTCCCAAATTCCTAGCATGCCGTTTTCGAAAGCTCAGGTTCTACCCACTGCTTTTCTGGCTGATCTACTTAAGCCAATTGCCACGGGAATTACATCATATAAGGGAAGATTATTTGTGCCTCAGAGTTTATACTGCTGGCCGTTTTTTGTTGATATCGGAGGGGAGGTATATGATCCAAAGGTAAATGCATGGGTTGAAATGCCGGCAGGAATGGGTGATGGTTGGCCTGCAAGACAGGCCGGAACGAAGTTGAGTGTCACCGTGGATGGTGAGTTGTATGCACTTGATCTGTCTAATTCTCCTGAAAGCGTGAGGATTAAGGTATATGATTACCAAGATGATGTTTGGAAAGTTGTTGTAGGAGAGGTCCCGATTCACAACTTTATTGATTCCGGCTCTCCCTATTTGCTTGCCGGTTTACTAGGAAAGATCCATGTGATTACTAAAGATGCCAACAATATCTCTATCCTGCAGGCTGATGTGCAAAACCATGTTTCCTCGCCATCAGCTTCATCATCTTCATCGGATAGCTCTACCGGTGCGCAGCTAGAGCCTGCAGAACCTGCAACAACATCCGAAACAGTTCTTTGGAGGGTTGTTGCTACAAGGATGGCCGGATCTTCTGAACTAGTAAGTTGTCAGACCCTCAATATTTAGTGCCTCCATTGGAATACTTTCCGAAAACTGTTTTGTTGCTCTTATATGTTTCATCAGAAAGAATGATTATACAAGCTACAAACTTTTCTCCTCCCATCCTTGTTTAATGTAAAGAAAAGAAACACTTTGAAAAGAAATACCAGATGATGGATATAGTTCTTGTAGAATATAGATTAAAGTTACAAATTGCTTTCCTGCAGAGTATAACATAAAGGATGACAAGATTTTTAGCCAACCATCTGTTACCAGGTTATTTTGTTATTTTCACATGGTGATTATGCCATGGGATGGCATGGCTGGGAAAACTACTGTACTCTCTTGGAGCAAAGTTTTTCCAGCCTCCATGATGCTTCTATGATGCGCTTTCTTTACCCGAAAACTCTGATTCTGATATACTCTGCATCACCAGGACCAAAACCCAGAAAATGCACCCAAACATATGGGGCATTGACACCTCCATAAACTTCTAAACCTAGGGAGGAAAATGTGTCTACCGGTATCTTTGCGTTCTACGGATAGCATGGTACACATTTGATGCCAAAGCTGAACATTTATGTACAAGGCTTTCCTGGACTTGCTTCTAGCATTTACACTTACCTGGAAACCTTCTGGTGAAAAGCATGCTAGTCCACCAGCATGAGCTATGTTGGATGCTCCATTGAAGCAACCGCATACGATGTGGTTCAAATCGTGCATGACAGGAAACCGGTTGTTCTTCGAGGACTAGTGACCTTTTCTCTTAGCTAGATGGCATGTCGGTAACGTACCTCTTTGGCGTCGGGAATTTCAGAGATCGATTTAGGACTTCCATTGGAGATATAGGTCGCTTAAGTGGGGTCAAAAATAATTATCGATCCATTATCCCTTGCGAATTATACAAGCAACCGTAATTGCTTAATTGTTGCAGCATTACCTGTAGGATTATTTAGCGAACAAAAGATGATATCTGTTCTCGGAGTGATTGTTAAATCGGGGATGAAATTATTTTGAGGGCCAGGCTGCGTGTACTCGAAAAATTATACCAAAAAATTATAAATGACATTAACATTTACCCAAAAAAATTATAAAAAATTATTTTAAAAATTGTAAGAAAATACATATTTGTGATTATATACCAAAAAATACCTAGCGTATTTCACAATTTCAGAACCAATAATAATAATAATAATAATGATTAACACTTGTATATCAGTCCATGGGATTCAACTTACACAGCAGTGCACTTTGTTACATGGTTATTTTATTATAATTTATATTACATATATACCATGGGAAGGCATGGCTGGTGCAAACCACTTCATTCTTTATATTACACAGCAGTTAAAAAGGGGGATCTCCCCATGGAGAAAAGTTTTTCCAGCCTCCAAGATGCGTCTATGATGCGCACTCTTTTCCGAATGCACTGATTCGGATGTACTCGGCTCCACCAGGACCAAAACCAGACCCCGGCACTGTTATTATATGAGTCTTCTTGAGAATTTCTGCGAATACATTCCATGATTTCGAACCTGGAAAATGCACCCAAACATACAGGGCGTTGACACCGCCATAAACTTCTAAACCAAGATAGGCAAATGTGTCTACCAATATCCTCGCATTCTCCTTGTAGTAGTCGATCACTGTGCGGATAGCCTGAAAATTATCAAAGAGACAAATTCAGCAGGCCTGGTTATCTAGATTGTATTTTGTTGGACTAGCATCAGAGTGTAGAGTATATTTTGTTAGACTTGCATGTCAAAACTATATTCTTTCACCTACTACTATTCCTCTTCAAAGGTTTGGCTCAAATCCGAGTAACAGTTTACCTTCTCTAATAAACACAAAAAGTACGTTTATATACTAAATCAGGTTGATAAATAACTATTTGAGATGATCTTCACCTCTGCTTGGTTCAAATAACCTTTTTGCGCAAGCAATCCCTCCCAAAGCTATTGAGGTATTAACAAAAGCTTAAAAAATTCACAATTTATAGTATGATTTTCAGTTAACTCCAACAAAGAAACTTATCCATAAGAATATTTCAGTCAAACGAAGCATCTCATTAAAGTCGACTGCGGGCATATCTACAGAAACAGAGACAGGTAACTGCTATAATCACTGTTATATTGTGGGAGATCTTGTTGTGACTAATGGGTTTTCAGAAATTGGATCCATTAATATGCCTATGCCTGCAAGCAAAATACCGGTAAACCCTTGTACCCTAATACACATTTGATGCCAAAGCTCAAAATTTATGTGCAAGGCTTTGTTGGATTTGCTACTAGCATTTGCACTAACCTGGAAACCTTCTGGAGAAAGGCATGCTAGTCCACCAGCCTGAGCTATATTGGATGCTCCATTGAAGCAGGTGCAAACAATGCGATTGAAGTCGTGTATGACAGGAGACCCACCTGAAAACAAGAGTTCTTCGGGGACTACCGTCCAACCAAGACAAGCTCCCGTGAACCCGGCAAACTTGGAGAAGGACGAAATTTCAATTGCAACCTGAGGAAATGTTCTTTTCCTTTTCAGTCTAAAGACAAAGGACAAGCTAAAAATATATATAAATTGATGTACCGTGCTTCATGAAGCAAATTAACAAACTATGGTCTGAGGCTCTGTGCCATCTCAGATATCCCAAGAGAATGAATTTAAAATTCATTTTTTCCATCCAGGTATCTCACATTCTTTGTATACGGACAACTGGTGGATTTAATCAAGAACCATGAAATTTATTTTCTCATTAACCCCATCAAACAATTATACTATTGAAAATGCAAATACTTGTTAAAATGGTAAGATTTTTATCAAGTCTAATTAACCACAAAATGAAGGAATTCTTCTCCAAAGGTTCCATAATTTTCCATATACCATTCCTAAATAGCTAATCATTAGCCAAAACCTCGTAAGCAACAGTAGTCCAACAAAAGTTAACTGGTCTCTTGGATTTAGTCCCACTTTATTAGAGATTAATCTATCGAAAGTAACCTTCCATGCAGAAGAGTAAGACTAAAGTAGGAGTTTTTTCTTAGTTAGATGCCATGACAGCAGCATACCTCTTTGGAGCCAGGAATTTCAAAGATTGATTTAGGACTGTCATCAGAAATATAGGTTGCATAAGCAGAGTCAATAAATGAAGTCATTTTTCTCACATCACAAAGGCAGTCATTGGATTATTTAAGATAGCTCCAAAAGGCATAAAATCGATTATATACCGTATGTTTTCAGCACCAAGGTGTGCACCAAGACAACACTGGCCTTAGGTAAAAAACACTTTCTGCAAGCAGGAAGACAGGTGTCTAATCTAACCCCATGAACTCTTTGTTTAGGTGCATCTTTCTTAAGTATTAAATTTAAACTTGGGACAGAATGATGACTACCAAAATTTATTGGCAGGTTCAAAAACTTTCAAATATAGGGGTGACAAATCAAGAGTCTTTGAACAAGTTTAGTTGCATTGGGGTGAACCCTGAATTAGACTGCTATCAGCTAGCTGTCCCTCAAGCTTAACAGCCTTATGTTTGAAAATTCTAAGAGAAGTTAATGTTAACATAAGCCAGTTCCATTGAGATCCTTATTTTGGATTCTTAACCTAAAAGGCTATAGCAACACAAATTACAACAGACTGGAATTGACCAAGACTTACATTAGCCATGCTAAGGCTGATTTGCTCAGGAATGGGCTCTGTGGTGTCACCAATACCAAGGCAAATCACTTTTGCATTTGGAAACTTTTCCAGTTGCTGCAGCTCCCGCTTTGAAATCTGGTTAGAATCCAATTAGAACTAATAGAACCAGAAAATGGCCCAATGTTGGGTCACATAGGATGCCCAAGAGAAACCCAAGCAGTGGTAGTTTTAGAATATGTAAAGAGCCTGGTAGAACGGATGAAACCAAGGACAAGCTGAAAAGGCAACAATTTCTTGTGCTTCAAGAATCAATTCAATCATTAAAAAGGGGGGGGGGGGAAATATAGTTTCAGCTTAAGAAAATCAGTGGTGTGAGAATCAATTTCCATAACCAGTGACAAAAGAAGGGCTACAAATGTTCTTCACTCTAATTATACAGAAGTGCTTATGTGAAGCTAACATTTTAAACTTGTAAGAATAGATGATCTAATTCCTAGAAAAGTGGAAGTAATATGAGATTTTAACAATAACCTCCGGAAACAAATAGTTATTCTGCAGCTTTTCCAAGTTTACTTTGCGAGGTACATTTGTGCAACGACCTGCGAACAGAAATATTAAACAGTTAATGCCAATATGTGGCAACGACCTGTTAATTTTAGGGTTAATTACCCTATTCATACATTAAGTATACTCAATTCTCAATTAGATACATAATGTTTAAAAATTCTCGATTGCATACATGGTGTTTTCTACTGTTAACATGTTCACTCATTTCCATCACAGAAGGTGATGTGGCACTTTAAATGAGTGCCACATGGCACGCTCGTCACCCATTTCTGAAGTGTCACATGGCATTTTGTTAAGGTTCCACGATATTTTTCGTGACGGAAATGGGTGAACCTGTTACAGGTATAAAACATCATGTATAAAATCAAGAATTTTTAAACATTATATATAAAACTGAGAATTAGGTATACTTTATGTATGAATGGGTAATTAACCGTTAATTTTAACGTGAGCACAAGACTAATATCAATGACATCGTAATTATTTGTTAAAATAATATACATGGGTTAAAATCGACTTATAAAATATAAAACTCTTTAGTTTTACACATACTGTTGGATGAGTGAAACTAGATTGTTGATATTGACTACTTGTTTTTTTCCTCATTTTCTACTATTAATCTCAACCATCTATTTTCACTAATCTAACGGTCTTAAGTTTGTGTAAAACTAAAGAGTTATACATTGTGTAACATTAGAAACATCAGACACCTAAAAGTATAACGTTGGAAGCGTTAGACAATTATTTTAAACGAAAAATTCTTTAAGTACTTAAAATTAACTTCAGGTATAGTTTGAGCACTTATGTTTGTATTAAGCTTAAAAATATAACGTCAAAAAAACCTAAAAGTATAACGTTAAAAACGTTCGATACGTAATTTTAACGAAAAATTCTTTAAGCACTTAAAATTAACTTTAGGTATAGTTTGAGCACTTATTTTTATAGTAAACCTAAACAAACTATCAAGTATTTTTAAAATAATATGATTTTTATTAAAGAATTGAAAAAATAAAATAACAATTTAAAAATTTTCAAGATTTTTTAGTTTTTATTATGTAGCACTATCTAATGTTATAATGTGATCTTATGTGAGTATTCCATGAAGGTGAATGAAAATTGGCGAAAAATGGAATTCTTTTTACTTGATTCAACGTTAAAAATTCAGAACAATTTGTTATTTTATAAATTAAACTTAAAAAATTAAAAAGAAATGAGTTTATAAAATATGATTCATATAATTTTATTTTTTATTAATTAAAGGATTGATTTTCAAGTTCAGTCGAGTCACTCAACTATGCATGATATATATATATGTCACATATAAAAAAATATGAATATATATATATATATATATAGTACATGGTTATAAAAAATCTTTTAAAATCAATTAAGTATCATAACATTATAAATATTTATAATTAAATTTAAATAGAAACTTGAATAACTTGACTAGACTCAAAATCCATAAACTTGTCTCAAAAAATTTTAAAAAAAATTGAGTTATAAAATAGAACTTATCGACTCAATTAACTAAAAAAATTATTTAACTCGATCAAATACTTACCAATAATTTTATGCCACCGATCAACTGCTAGGATGAAAAGTGAAAATAATGATAACATTAGAGAGTAATTCTTAAAAAATAATTAAAGAAAAGGAACTTTTAAGTACTTAAAGTTTACAAATTGTGCATTTCAAGGTGCTACAAGTATATTAAACCATAAAAAATAACGGCGAGAAATCTTGAATACTAGATGCTTTTATTCAATGGTTATAGTGGACAACTGTTTACTTTTTGTTCAGTGGTTTGAATTATTGGCAAATTCATTCACTTAAAATTAGATTCTATTAAATAGACTGTTTTTGATCGATTCAATTCGTTTGAATTAATTTTCAATAAATAAAAATAATTTTATTTAAAAATAATTAGAAAAGACTGATTAATAGATATGGTTATAAAAAATAAATAAAGATATTTTAATATTCCTGTTAGTTATTTTGATTTTAGTTAGAAATATTGACCGACGTTGACCGATCGTTAAAGCAACCATTGACCGGTGTTGATTGATTGTTGAACATTGGGTGGTAAATGGAATTTTACTGTATTTATTCATCGTAAAGTCTTGGCTAACGTTTAAGTACACCAAAATAACATTGGGTGGTCTTCTACCCTTTTTGGCTAGCACACCTAATAATGTTTTCTCCACTCTACAGTTGGCATTTGGCAAGGCAATCCTATAAAGTTTACAGAGACGCAAGAGTAAACAATTCCGTACAACATGTAAATATAAATTACAACAGCATCAATGGGAGCAAAAAAGGAACTATATGCACAAATGTGAACAATGAACAGTCTAAAATAGCAAGACAAGGTGTTGTAGAAAGACCCTTGTTATGTATTTTTGTGGCGGCATGTCGGAGTAGGTCATCTTGGACCGGATAATTCGTCTGGAGGGATGTGAGAAGTGGAGTCTGCAATGATCCAATTCCCATTGGGTTGGTGGTGGTTGAAGTAGTGGCCATGGTTGAACTCTTGGCGGACAATTTCGTCTTTCTGCCACTCTTCCCATCTTTCAGCCAAGCCGTCGCCTTCCAGCATCCTCACCACTTCAGCCATCTTTGGTCGTTCCATTGGGGTGCTTTGAGTGCACAATAGAGCCACCTGGATTAGCTGCTCCACCTCTTCGTCTACGTAATTGCCGCTGAGATCCGAATCTACCAGCGTTTCCAACTTCCTGTCACTCAGAAGACCTTTCACCTGAAATTTCAGCATTGCTATCAAGTTCACAGATTGCAGACATAGGTACCTGAATGAAGAGTCTAAGCAACAAAGATTGCAATCAACAAAGACAACACCATTTCGAAACATGCAAACGTGGCCTTGTTCGAAATCAATGCTCATCTAAAATGACAGTGACAATTTTGAAACATGCACTCTAGTACACAAAACTGATGAACAGAAAGGATAAACATGTCGACAAATTTTAACAACTATTTCTATAATTTTTCCTTTTTCCGCCTTCATCTTGCAGGGAAAATACCGTCAAGTTTCAACTATTTCTATTTTTCTGCTTCTGCATTTTCACCTAGCAAAAAACTTTCATTAAGCTTCGCTATTATACTCTTAGTGTATTGCTTGGGGCCAACCAAGCGAAGCAAGCATTGCATAATTCCAACACTGAACAGGAACAGCAAAAGTCAAACTTAGAATACAAACATAATGGGAAGGCAGTACGTACCCAATCAAGCAACATGACATCATCATCATTTGCAAGCCGAGCAAGATCGAAAGCTCTCTGTCCTGTAATGAGCTCAAGAAGCATAACACCATACCCGAAAACATCAGTTTTCTCTGACGACTTCCCAGTTGATAGGTATTCGGGAGCTATATGACCAATTGTGCCTCGAACAGCGGTCGTAACATGAGTATCTTTGTAGTCCATCAGTTTGGCCAGCCCAAAGTCTCCGACAACTGCTTCAAATTCCTCATCCAACAATATATTTGCAGCCTTCACGTCACGGTGGATAATCTTAGGGTCACAATGATCATGCAAATATGCAAGCCCCCTTGCAGAACCAAGTGCAATTATTTTCCTTATAGCCCAATCAAGTGCTGGTTCAGACTCAGAACGCTCTAGGGAACATAAAAACAGATTAGTAGATAGCCCATTCTAACAAGAGGAGCTCACAAAGTATTTGGTTTCTCCATAAATTTCTCAAAATTCCACTTCGATTTAAACGCAACCAGCATTTACTGAAAATGTAACTTTATAAAATGAAAGTTAAAACATTTTAAAACAAGAAAACAAGATGTGATGGTATTTTAAATTTTGTTTTCCAAGTGAATAAGTAGTAAAGCAGATACTGATAACTGAAGCTCTCACAAGCTTGTATAATTGATATTGGAAAAAAGTGGTAACAAAAAGAACATAGATATAAAAGAAGTAA